CTATCTTAGTACAAAATAACCTAAAATTTAAATAATTAATTAATAATTAATTATAATTTATATATGTTAAAGAATAAAATTTTTTTATTTGGGTATGTGGGCTAACAGGCATGAACATAAAAAAACTATCTTTTTCTAAGTCCAATCCTAAGTTTTTTTTATACAAGTTTAGGTTGACTTGTCAAGCTTGCTTTAATTATTGACTTTATTGACATGGGAGAAAGGGAAGAAAAATTATGGAATACAATCACATATTGAGACGGAATCATAGAAAACATAATTTGCCACATATGTCACATAATTTTGTATTTTTTTTAAATATAAGTACAAAACTTGGCTTGATAGAAGCCAAGTTCTATACCTTTCTAAAAAAAAAAATTTGTTCAGAAGTTGGCTCGATATAAGCCAAGTTTTGTAATGTTGCATGAAAAAAAAAATTAAACTTGGTTTCATTGAAGTCAAGTTTTAAAATTTGTAATGTTTGAAAAAATATTTTTAAAGATATAGCATATTGATAAATAATTGTTATTGTTGTAATACTATGGTCAAATTACTTGTTTTAAGGGATAATTAATGTGCTTTTTTTAAAAATACTTGTACTAAATAAATTATTTTACATTTATTTTAAAATAAAACATATTATTAAAAAATAATTATAAAAATATAATACTAGTTTAAAAATAAATAATTATTTTATTTAGATGCAAGTTTGGGTCAAGTATAACTAAAAGGATTTTATGCTCCAATGTGTTAAAATGTCCATTAAGTTTTGCACCCTCCTCATCAATGTGTCTGCCCTTCCTGCTTTTAGATAATATAAGAGAAATTATTATATGTGTCCTTATTTTTATTTATAACTAAAACTGTAAACTTCAACAAACATTTATCATATTTTGTCAAATCCTTCCTAATAAAATTAGAGTTTATTTTTATTAAATAAATATATTTTATTAATTATAGAGATAATCCAATTCAATTTTTAAATTTCAAATATAATTATTAATTTAAATAATTTTTTAAAATTATATGAATTGATTATTTTTTATATTATTTAAAAATAAAACATAAATTTAAATTCTTACATTTTGCTCTGGCTATCAGAAATTGTGCGAACTTTATTCTAATCTCTTCCATTGGAGTAGGAATGTGAGTCCACACAATTGTTTATAACTAGAACAAAGTGTAGGATTTAAAATTATGTTTTTTTAAATAATATAAAAATAATCAATTCATATAAAGAAAAATATAATTTTAAGTTTCTAAGAGTTTTGTTACAGGGGTTCAAATATTGAAAAGCAAAAGCATAAGAATATAAAATATTTAAAGAAAATATAAAGATTTATAATAAAATTCGAGTGCAGTGTAAAAATTTAAAATTGTGTTAAAACATAATGAAGGATTAGTATTGTTTAAAATTATGAACCTCCCCATGCACCGGTGGTAAAATCTTGTTTTGACAAAATTAAATCTCGTGACACACGCACAACACAGTTTAATTTAATAGTACTCCTACTCCATTTATACTTAGCGTCAATGGAAGAGGCTAGAGAGAAGTGCGAGTCCACACAATTTCTGATCGCTAGAGCCCTATTCGTACGCTTTTAGGTTACATAGTTGCTCAGAATTGGTCAAGTAAACTCTCCTTTCCACATTCGGTGCTCGCCGCCCTATGAGGTAATTTTGGCCTTTTATTTCTTCTGATATAATTTCTATATTTGATTTTAAATTATTTTTTAAACATTTTTATATTTTGTCTATCAAAATAAGAATATATAAAAGATTTTAATACTGAATTTGAATTGTCGACAATATATCTATATAAAATTTTTTTAAAATTTATGAAAAATTTAATCTTAAATTAAACCTTTTAAATTATATCTGTGCTGTTTAAAGTATATTAAAATAATCAATAAATAAAAATTATTAAAAATTAGTATTAATTTGAATCATATAAATTAAATATTTATGGGCCAAATTGGTAATAAAAATATTTACTAAAGACCTCTGTATTTTTATTTTAATAAATATAAAATGCTTAAATTTGGATGATGATGATTATAGTGTTTATCCTGTATTAAGCATAAAAAACAGTTCAAATTTAATATTATAATATTTCAAATCTTTATATGTTTTACTTTAATAAATATAATATAAGAATATTTTAAAAACAATTGAAAATTAATAACAAGTATCATTTGAAGAGAAATGAAAAGCTAAGATGGCCGATACTGATGTGAAGTGCGGTTCCGTAAACTCTCAGTCTCAGCTTCTGCTTCACGGCATACCCATTGTACAGCTACGATGCACGACTCGGATTTCAAGCGCGCTAAATTAAAATCACCACAATTCCATTTTCTTACCTCCACAATCATATTCTCTCAAAAGTCAAGGCCAATATTACCGTAAATTTGCCTCGTGAGAGTAAGCCCCTCCTTGTTGCCCATCACGCTTCACGCGCCCGTGTGGCTCGGGACACCCAAATATATATTTTTATTCTCCAATAACAAAGAAAAGATTAAAACGTTTGGAGACTGAACAATTCATGGCCTTTGGATGACAGGGGAAGACCACGTGGTATGAATCCACGGCTCGCGTGCTTCTGTTGGCTTTTCTTTATCCCCCTCCTCCTTGTTTGGCTTTTACCATCGCCCAAACCAAAAGCAAACATCTTTTCATTCTTCCCCCTTTTTTAAAAGGAAAAAATAATAATAATGGATGAATTTAATAATGAACCCATATCTTATTTTATATGATCATCATGGGGTAAAGGTTTCATTGCATCGAGTTGTTTTATTCCACGATGTGCTACGTAAGCTGACACGTCAACGAAATGTTTTGATTAAACACACGCACGCTGTATATCAGTATGTTGTTCAACATCGCCATTCGTGTTCCATGACTTTTAATTGGACATATTTTACGCGGAATCTGAATTTGACATGAATCGGATTATAATATTTATATTGATATTAAGCCCTTTAAGTTTAACCGTTCAGTTCAGATAAACACTTGTTATTCTTCCACCTCACATGTTCTCTACTCTTTTTCATAAGTTACTTTTAATTAACTTACCAAAAGTAATGTAGGTTAATTAGAATAATAAAATTATCTTAAAAATAAATTATTTTATAATTTTATCCCTTCATTTTAAAAAATTAGTGACTTGTTGTGTGGACTTTTTTTATAAATTAAAATATTATACTTTTTTTTAGAATTTGCTGAGAATAATCATACAATTATGCGTCAAAAGTTACAAAACATCTAGAGAAAATGACTCACATAAAGAAATTTCTTTCAACGTAACACTTTTCACACTTTTTGATGAGTATAAAATAAAAAGTTACATGTGAGAGAAATGCTTTTAAAGATGATGCATTTAGTAAGGGTGAGTTGAGAAATTTCTTATTTTAAAACAATATTAATAATTTAACTTTTTTTTTTTGTTTTGGTAAAGTAACTAGAAACAACGCATAAAAAAATGTCGAAAGAAGCATGTTTTAGGGAAGACATTTTGGCTCTGGCTTGGACATTAACTAGGCCCCCCATACCTAGTTTATGATAGTTAATTCAAGCAGTCCACACAATTGTGCACCATCTATCTATGTATATTCTCCCTAATTCAAAATATAAATAACATAATTTCAACTACTCTCTCTCTTAAAAAATATAAAATATTTTTTTAAAAGTTAGACGTTAAAAATATAAAATATTTTTAATATTTTAATGTACAATTATTGTATTTTTTTTAAAAGTACTTTTATTAATAATGACTTTATATTTATTGTAAAGTGTTTAATAGAGATAAATATATAAAGATAGGGTTAGTTTAAAAGTAGGTAACTGTTGGGGGTAAAATTTGATTAAAAATACCTTATATTTTTTAACGGATGGAGTATTAAAGTATTCTATGATGGGTGAGGGATGCACTTATACAAATATTTAAGTTAATAAAAATAAAGGATAAGATGATTTTTTTTACATGTACTATGTTACTTATATTTTGAATCAAAATTAGATGAAAAAAATACTTATATTTTGAACCAGATAAAAAAATATTTTTTTAATAAGAGATTCCAAAATTGTTTGGGTTTGTTATGTACTCCTTTCATCTTAAATTATAAGACACTTTTAGGTAAAATTTTACATACCAATAAAGCTCATTAAATACACTTTACAATCTTACTTTTTTAAGATAAAAATATAAAATTTAAAAAATATCCTTTATTTAATACTCTATTGATTAAAAAAAAATGAGAATGGTAATATTAAAAAACTATCATCATGAAACCTTATTTTTATCAAAGTCTTATAGTTTGGAACACTAAATCTTTCTTAAAAGTATCTTATAATTTAAGACGGAAAGAGTATCTTGTTATTAAAAATCACTTTTCAAAATAACATGACAAACTATTTGATCATGTTAATTTAAAAATAATTCTAGAATTTAAGAAGGCCACTAGTGGCAGTAGCAAGCTGGTGCTTAATGGTTATTGCCCATTACATTGGTTATTTCACGGTTTGCCTTCAGGTAGAAGAGGTATAAAATATTTTTATTTTTTATTTTTTAAAATGATAATAAATTTATAGGTATTTAAATTTAAAAAAAAATATTCAAACGATTTTTTAAAACAAGATAACTTTTAAAAACAGAAATCATACGAACCCATGAATTAAGATTTTTTGTTGGTACAAAAACAATGAATTAAGATTAACCACTTTAAAAGTTATAAATGATGATTCATTTTAAGAGCGGAGAAAAAAAAAAGTAGTAAAGAGAGAAAAAAGCACAATGACCAAGAATTCTGCTGAAGCAATACCACATGCCGGTGTGGGGAGTGTTTTTGTTTTACATTTACCGCTCACCTGAAAGAATGAACAATAAAATCACGCACGAAGATATTAGGATGCTAAATATGAATAGAAAGACGAAATCACTCACACTTGGTTCCAGTAAAAAATGGGTATAAATAATAAACGAACCAAAAGTGGGGTTTTATGCCAAAAAGCAGTTTTCCGACCAAACACACGAGAGACATCTGAAAACCACTATCAGCAGGACAAAACCGCCTCGTCTCGGTGTCAAACAGTCCTCTCTAGTCTCTTGTAACCATTAATATTCGTTTATAGTAAGCCCCCTCGTCTCTTCCCTCCCTAATCTCTATACTCGCCTCTCTTCTTCTCCTCCGTCTGCTACTCCTTCTTATTCCTCCCTTGCCTATTATTACACGCCACTTGTGTCTCTGTATCCATCAACTGCTTCGCCAAACACTCCCATCTCTCTCGCTCTCCTTCCAATATATCTTCTCTGTGGTTCTTCATGGAGCGATGGCCTGAACTCACAGCCAAATATTGAGGTTGCCCACTCGGTCTGTGTTTCTGATATGGCGTACCACAACCACCATCTCTCTCAAGACCTACCGCTCCATCATTTCACGGAGCAATCTCATCAGCCTCCGCAGCAGCAGCAGAACCAGGCGCTGACTGACAACTCCTTGCGAACGATATTGCAGGACCCCGTCAGTAAGGCCGGCTCCGATCCCCACCAACACCATCACCCCCTTCAAACCGCTCCCAATTGGCTCAACAACGCTCTCCTCCGAACTCACTACGCCGACAACAATAACGGCAACAGCAGTAACACCACTGCTCCTAACAATACCAACGCCACCAATTTCCTCAACCTCCACACCGCCGCCTCCGACTCCACAGGAGCTGCTTCCCAATCCTCCAGCCAATGGCTGGCACGCCCGATCCTCAACCGGAATCATAGTGATGTCATTGACGACGTTACCGCCGGGGACTCTCTCATCGCGGGCGCGACTCTGTCCCCCGAGTCTGCCGATTTAAAGGCCACCGGCGACAACCTTAATAGCAAGGGCGAGGCGGTGGTAGTGGATAGCGCCGGTGCCACTGGGGACGGCTTGATGAGCTGGCAGAATGCTAGGTTCAAGGCGGAGATTCTAGGCCACCCGCTGTACGAGCAGCTGCTATCGGCACACGTGGCGTGCCTGCGGATCGCCACGCCGGTTGATCAGTTGCCGAGAATCGACGCTCAGCTGGCTCAGTCGCAGAATGTGGTTGCCAAGTACTCGGCGTTGGCGCACGGGGGCCAGAGCATGGTAGGGGACGACAAGGAACTCGATCAGTTCATGGTATGTTCTAGAATTCTGTGTCATTTATTTGACTATCTATTAATAAATTAAAATTTTCTCTGAGGATAATCCAAATTCTGTTATTGCTCTTCGCATCGATGTTTGGGAAGAACTATAAACTGGAGCTGGTTAAAAGACTCTCTCGTTTGCAGTTAAGATATTAATTCGAAATTGCTTGCTTTGGAGAATTTGAATTTGATGTCTTTTTGGATGATTGTTCGAGCTTGATGGATTGAAGGCTAGTATATGAGGCTACTCGTTCGATTAATGGAAAATAAATAAATAACTTCAAAATATTGAACATTTTTAAACCCAAATTGGGAACTGGATGTAAAACAGGGTTTCTTGCTCAGCATGAAAATGCAGCAGGAGTAAAATTTTGTATTAATGCGTCGGAGAGATTACTGAACGATGTCAATGGATAGTAAATTGTTGGAATTTGACTTGGATCATCTTTAATCTCCATCTTAGGCGGAGTATACCTTTGAGAGGATTGCCTTTGATTTATGAATAATTGAGCAGTCAATTTTCTTAGATTTGGTTTCTGTTTCCATTCTTCTACCACAGGCTTTCAATATTTAACTTCCAATTTTGAATCTAGTGATCCTGGAGACTGTGGTAGAAAAAAGGAAACAGAAACCAAATATATTATTATTTAATATGATTATTAGGCTTGTCATTCCGGCCATAATAGGCAAAGCTGGTGGGCGTTAAAGAAGATTATTTAATTTGATATCTATAGATGGTTACAAAGTTTGATATGTACTCTGTCGATGCTGCAGTCGCACTACGTCTTGTTGCTCTGTTCATTCAAAGAACAGCTTCAACAGCATGTCAGAGTCCATGCAATGGAAGCAGTGATGGCTTGTTGGGAGATAGAGCAATCCTTACAAAGTCTAACAGGTTCGAAAGATCTCTTTTTGGTATTTTTGTTTCGTCCCAGAGTAGCTCTAATCTGGCTGTTGCATGCTAGAAGTAGAAGGAAATTAACCAGTTCCATTGTAATTTTTTTAGTCATCTGGCTTGTCACGTATCACATTTTCCCACAATTATGTTTGCTGCATACTCTTAAATTTTTTGTGGCTTAGTAGTTCCAGCTTCCGAGGAACAACCAGCAAATTTTAATGCAGCTAATTTTTTAGTCACTAATGAGCAAATCGCTGGAGAAAAAACGAAGGGGTCAGATAACTGTGAATTGTCTGTAGGGGGTATAAAAGGAGTAATCGATGCATTTTGCCCGCTTTTTTCTGGCCTTAAATGAGCACTGACGTCTGACGGTTTGTTGCCTCCAAGACAAAACAGAGTGATGATACAGTTTTGAGCACGTATTACGAGTAGTATAGTAATACTTGGAACGAACAGCGAAGCTTTCACCCTTAGATCATCCTTCAACTTGATAGCTCATACTAGTATTTGAAATAGATGAGTGGTGAGGTTATAAATGCTGGCACATGGTGCATGAACAGGAGTTTCACCAGGAGAAGGCACAGGGGCAACAATGTCAGACGATGAAGACGACCAGGTAGACAGTGATGCCAACTTGTTTGATGGTAGCTTGGATGGTTCGGACATGGGATTTGGCCCCCTTATTCCAACGGAGAATGAGAGGTCCCTCATGGAGCGTGTGAGGCAGGAATTAAAGCATGAACTCAAACAGGTAATAAATGCTGTGCTGATTCCCATCTTCTTTTCAATCTCTTCCCATGTGACTCTTTGGCCCAACTTCTTCCCTTTTTGTTTTTTTTCAATTTTTGAAATTTAGGGTTACAAGGAGAAAATTGTCGACATAAGAGAGGAAATTTTGCGCAAGAGACGAGCTGGGAAGCTTCCCGGTGACACAACCTCTGTTCTTAAAGCTTGGTGGCAATCACATTCTAAGTGGCCTTACCCAACGGTAGGTTTGTCTAATCAGACCCCAACTACATACATCGTACACATTTGTCCCAGAATGTAAACGACAGCATAAGCTACCCACAATTTAGCACAAATATTAGTTTCCAAATTGGGAGCTTCATGGGAGTTTGACGGGCGACTTTTTATAATATTTGACGCGTCTCACAAATTGACTCAAGAAAATTTTTTCTGATGAAAAATCAATTGGGTGCTCTGTTCAGGAGGAAGATAAGGCAAGGTTGGTTCAGGAAACTGGTTTGCAATTGAAGCAGATTAACAATTGGTTCATCAACCAAAGGAAGAGAAACTGGCACAGCAATCCCTCCACCTCTACGGTTTTGAAGAGCAAGCGCAAGAGGTATATCTTGTCAAAACAAACCCTTAATTTCTCCAATATTCTCGAGCTTTGTCTCAACCTTAATTTGAAAATAAGTAATGCAGGTGATAACAGTAACGCGGATCGTTACATTTAAATGAGGGAAATCTCGAAGGATCCCGGAGTATGCCCCGTATATTCTTTCTCCTGGATCAGTCATGGTGCCTGGAAATGAAGTGAGAAAGGAGTAGATTTGTGATTGGTTTGATTGGAGTACCAGAGTAAGGATCTATATCGAGATCTTCATCAGCCATTTTAAAGTATGAATCCTAGTCTGCAGAGTGTAGATTAGTTTAAGCAGTGCATTGGGGTGGGTTGGAGGAGGGCGCAACATACTTAGGAAGTTGGATTACAAATTATATACTTCGCGGGATTATGATTTTTGTTCACGTGTTATATAATGCTTGTGGGATATAATATTATATAAACACGATTAGTGGTCCGGGGTTGTGCGTGTACAGTAATAATCTGTGCATTTTTCCTTTACAATCATACTGTTTTTAGTTTTCGAGTTGTAGTCAAATTGTCATACAGTATACAGTAAGTATTTAATATTTGCAGTTTTCGAGTTTATGGGGTGATGATACTTTATAATTTGAGCCGCAAATTCGAGTCAAATCTAAAAATAAATTAGCGCTCAGCTTAGATAAGTTGTAATTTTTTGAATATTCAGTCTTGGGCTTGGGCTTGGCTCTAATGAATCTTTTTTGGTTTATACATAATATATGTTAAGTATTTATTAATTTCTTAAGAATTAGTTTGTTATTATTTCTATTAAGAGATCATATGTACATTTAAGTGTATTGTTATAGATATTTTTTGACAAAAAAATATTTATTGTTTAAGTTTTAAAATACGGTAAAATGATTTTAAAGATGTATTTTAATCTTGATTAATAAAAGTGTAATCTTTACTTTGTAAAAATTAAAATGTATTTGTTAAGTGTATCAAAATATATATTGCTTATATTTTTTGTAATAACTACGAAAATAAATTTTATGATAAATATTGAAATTGGATTAGAAATTGAAAAGGAAAGAAAAGAGAAAAAAGGTTTCACCCCACCTTAATAACACCCTTCATTGCCATGGTTTTTTTTTTAAAAAAATTATTTGAAAATCAATTAAGGAATACATAATTTCAAGGTTATTTTCATTCTCGGTCTCGGACAGTTAAATTTGATTCAGATATATTTTTGTGGACTGCTCGTTTCACGTTGTCAAGATTGCTTATTTGTCCAGAAGGTTTGATTCTTTCAAGATTCATCAAATATTCAACAGGAGTTTCTTTAAAAAAAAAAAAAAAACAGAGAGAGGCTTGTTAATCAATGTTCTTAAAATATGAGATAAGAGATTTCAGTTAAAGAAACTGCTCGTGAAATTTTGTGTGTGTAGATGGGAGATATCATTTTTATAGGGAAGAAATTTACCCAATTACCCTTAGTATAAAAATTGGAATCTGAGTTCCAAATTAGAATTAATGCCTGGATTTGTAATTCCCAAATGTTGTGATCCTAAATTGGAATCAATTTTATCTTTGGTCCTCAAATATCATCCCCTTATAATAATATACTGGCATACTGATGGATAATGAAATTATAACTTTACAAGGGTATTATTTGTATCAAGGGCGAAAGAATCTTGCTATAAATGTCAATCTTGGTACATGGCGTGAATATGAATAGAATATCATCTATCTAGCTATATCACACATACCATATTTAAATTTAAGGATCTGGATTTGTATCCTTTTAATATATCTCTCTATACTCAATCTCATTCATTCATTTAAATATTGTCTTGATTTAATGGTTTAAAATTGCCAATAATAATATTAAAATAAATAGATTATTCACTATTATCACTTAAATATTTTTAAAAATAAGTTCATAATGCTTATTTATGAAAATCATTAAATTAATAGTGTATTTATTTTAATCTCATAATTATTAATCTCACACCATTAAACCAAATTAATTATTAAATGGATGAATGTGATTGGATATGGAGGGTCCTTAAATTCAGTTCAATAAAAAAATGCCATTCAAAAATTACGAGATTTTCATATGAAACTTATTTGAGTTAAACTAGACATTGGAAAACTTATCATAAGTCAGAGTTATTCTCAACTCTTCACTTTTACCAGCGGTGCAATTTCTTCGTTGATCATCACTTAACCTATTTCAAAGCTAATATTCGTTCAGTCAAATGCCCATAAATGGTGTGTCAAACCAAAACTTAAGAAATTTGTATCAAGAATGATATATACACATGACGTGGGTAAATGGCCAGATAATGAAAGGGACTAGCGAAATAAATAGTTCCAGAAGAATCAGATCTAAAAACTGATGTTAAGCTCAAGTACGTACGCACATGATAAATTGCATGAATTGTCAGCATCCAAAATTATTGAGGACAGCAGGATTTGAGAATAAATCGAGCTGAGAAAGTAACAAAAGCAGCATCACTAGCGTTGTGCGAGCCATCATCAAAATTAAGAGCATAGCTCTCAGGATCATATTGAAGCTGTAGCGTCCTGGATTTCTTATTCATTCTCATGAACCTGAGCCTGCATTGCAGAAAATTCTTCCACTCCAATGACCCTCGTCCCAAAACCTTCATCTGCTTCACTTTCATTGGCCACCGCTTGTGTTTCACTTGCTGTTCCTTTTCTTCCTTTTTTTCCTTGTTCATGGGTGTTGATAAATTATAATTTGCTTCTTCTTGCTTTGTCACGAATCCAAGTACGAGTCAACCTCCAAATAAAAGGAAATGTATATATACCGGTGCTCTGCCCTCTCCCTCTTTTATGTGTGTGTGTGTGTGAATTTCCGCTGATGAGATTGGGATGAAATTTAAACAGTTCGAATTCATTATTTTTTATACGAAGTATTGGCTATTTTTAAAGAAATCAGAATGTGAACGTTCCCAGTAGATTTTATGTATATATATATATATATGTTATCAAAATGGATATTTAGATTGGCATGAAAAAGATAAATAGATTTTGGATAAAAAGTTAATTTATCGGTTTTTATATGGATAGTGATAGTATTTATTAATTCATATTTCTATTTTATTTCCTTTTACATCTCAATTAAAAGTAGATCGAAAAGTAATTACTAACATTCAAAATCCAATCAAGTTGTATGTATACATATATGTTAGAAGGGTGTGAAATATATAGACAACTGACCCCCCCTCTCTTTCACTCTCATTTATCCAAGCAAATATATTCATGAAATTCCATTTTTATTCGAATCTGATTATAATAGTACATTGGAAAAATTCGCTCAGTCAGAAAGGCCTTATCCAAAAAAATGCTGCTTGAATTTTTGTATAAGAGATATGTCCTATTTTATTTATTTATTGCTGTTTTATTTTTATCCTTACATTTTAACTCTGTCTTAGAAGGAGTGCTATTTTTATTTATAATAATTTGTTTCTGTAATTCAAAATGGACTTACGGGGCATTAAAACATTATAGGATAAAATCCGGGTTTTGATGGATAAATAAGGGGAAAATTATAAAAGTTTATAAAACTTTTGACACGTGGGAGAATAGTTTCCCTACATTTAAAATTAATGATAAACCCCCTCAAAGAATTTAAAAGTGTGCCGGTAATTCCTTGCCATCAATCAGTCAATTATTTTATCAACGGAAGTGGGGATGGACTCACGTTTTATAATAGAGGGCAATTGCCCCATTAATTTAAGGAGAAAATACTTAAGATGATGCAAAATAATTTTAGTTGTTTCTCTTAAAAAATTTCAATTGCTTCCTCACTTTAAAAAATTTCACTTATCCCCTTATAAAAATTTACTCATCCCATTATCTAAAATTATACGTGTTTATGAAAAGCAAAAGTTTAGAAAAAATTTGTTTATGAAAAATTTTATCACAAAAAATTATCAACAATATAAAAGAGGTATGTCAGTTTTATTTAATGAAATTTTAAAATATGATTATAATAGATACTCCTTTTATTAAAAAATATAAAATATTTTTAACCGAATCTCTTCCCTTAATAAAGTAATTATCTACTTTTAAATTAATTTTATCTTTTTGTATTTATCCTTATTAAACACCCTATAATAAATATAAAGTCACTATTAATAGGTACATTTTTGAAAAAAATGATGATTACGTCTCAAAATATTAAAAATGTCTTACATTTTTTAATATCTAACTCTTCAAAAAATGCTTTATATTTTTAAACGGAGGGAGTATAAAATTATTTATATAAAGAGAATATTTTATGTCATTATAATGTTATGTTTTATGTATTTTTTAATATCTAATTTTATTAACTCATACCATTAATATAGTTTAATAGATATCTAAAATTATTTATTTTATAAACATATTAATATTTATTTTAAGTATAAATTTTGCCTTTATTGATTAATGTTTCTTGGTCCGTCATTGCATGGAAGGCAATATTTTATTATTAACCATCCACCCCCATAAACTTTTTTTGGTTTTTTAAACAGATAGCTAATAGCATGCTTAAACTTTGTGGTATAGAGTATTCGTATATGACAATAATTTCTCTGAACTTATATGCGCAGATAGATCAATACCTTTGGGGGAGATTTGTTACCCCAAAATATAACATACTTTGAGAAAATTAAAATTTTATTAAATATGCTTATTTCAATACTATTCATTTTCTCTCTATTTAATACTAATTAGGTGTAGATTTAAGGTTATTAAATGAATGATATTTTTGAAAGTTTATATTTTTATTTTAAAAAAATAAAGTTGTTAAGTGTATTTAATAAGAGTTATTGGTATGTAAAATTTTATCCAAAAATATTTTATAATTTAAGATGAAGGGAGTATTACGTTATATCAGTGAAATAATTGATGAGTTAAAAGTCTAACTGGATTTTTTCTTGTTTTAAAAGTCATAAAGATTACACGTGATCTAGAGTTGAATTAATGATATTATGTATAATATTAAGTGTATATTAAAATAAATAAAAATATTTACTGTTTTTTAAAAAATAAGATTATATACAGATAGTTAGTGTTTGGCAAAGAACAAATTAAAGATGTTAGTCAAATTGAAGGTAACTAAAATTACGGTAAGCCAATTGCAACTACTTCAAACATGGGGTGAGATGTCAGCAAGGATTTAATCGCTCCTAATTTATAAGGAAAACGTAAGTTACTGGTGACATGGTATATGCAAAAGAAATAAAATTATATACAAATAAACATTCCCAGATACTAGTGATCAAAGAGATTAAAGGAGAAGAATGTTTATGTTTATGCAGATTACCTAGCAAAGAATTCTCACTGTTTTGATGATATATATATTAGGGTCGTATTCTATGGTTATGATTTTATCATATATGTCTTTTTCATTTCATCGAAAATTGATTTTACGATATAGATGCTTATGACCTCCCCCTCTATGCCCTGCGGTAATGATTCCTCTGGCATTACGACCTTTACCACAACGATGCTGTCCATAGATCAAATTATTTCATGGATTGGATTTCACTTGATTGTCTACGGCTACATTGTGTGCTCGGGGTAGAAGTTTTGTATAAATGTATCGCCATGCTATTAAGTATTTTGATTTAAGTTCTTTTCTTTCTAAGAGGTGGAATAGAATAACCCGGTTGAAGCGTAATGATCATACGTCTGTAATGCATTGTATGTCCCATAATAGGTCCCATTCTTCTACCCTTTACCGGGAGTCGATGACTATTCATAGCTATTATCTTGACACCAAAAAAGAGTTCGATCCAATGCTTTATTTCTATCCTAGTTGATCCTGATTCGACATTAAAAGTATATTAATTTTTTCTCAATAACCGAATACTTTTGTCTGTAAATACTGCATATTTGATTCCATCCATAAATCTATTTTCTTCCCTATGAGTTCTAGTCTCAATAAAAATGCTAGTTCTTACTGTTCATATGTTATGTTATGAATATACTACACTAATTCGTTATATACACCAATTCGTTATATATATATATATATATCTTTTATCTTTAATTTCATCACCCTCTAAATTATATACAAATAAACATTCCCATACAAGGTTCGAAAGGTGATGAGGGATGTTTCCCTCCTGTTAACATAATCGATTTTTAGTTTTTTGCCGCTAATATAATTTCAGTATGATTGGAAAAAAAAGGGAGAGATAATTAAATTAAATCTCAATGATAGCATGATACATAAAATAATTGAAGTTATATGCAAATATTTCTGGGGACAAAAAGTTACATGAAAATTAATGTTTGATCTCTCGAAATAAGGAAAATTAATTACAAGAGAAACATAGACCTGAACCCGGCCACCAACGACGCCATATCATTCTGGAGTGTCGACAGGACCGGCGAAGCGAGCTGAAAAATCAACAAGCCTCATCAAAGTTGAGTGCATAACTCTTTGGATCATACTGAAACTGCATTCTCTTCATCTTTTGGCTCGTTCTGACTCTGAACCTGTGTCGCAGAATGTTCTTCCACTTTGGCCCTCCCAATAACTCTGATAATACCTTCACCTTCTTCATCTTCTTCTCCCACCACTTCTCTTTCACCACTTCTCCTCCTGCTTCCTCCTTCTGACACAACACATATCCGCCTGAACGCCGCCACGAAGAACATATCATTCCCCTGAAGCAGCCACAAGAAACACCGCACGTCCCCACGTCTTCTTCGTAGTCGTTACCCTGCTCTGATAAATCTTCAACCATGGCCGCCGTGCTTTCTGATTTAATTTTTTTTTCTTTGGGCTGTCACTAATGAAATGCAAGCCTCGAAGAAGAGCACTGAGGCTATTTAAGTTGTATAAAAATGTAGGAGTTCGTCTTCCTGAACTCCTTTTCACGTTGCTGCCAGTTTTAAATGAATCCCAAAACTAGATCGGTGCTTCCGGAAATCAGATGGGCCAATGCTAAAGCGCCACATGACGTTAGTAGTTTTGGTATTGTGGTATCGGGTGAGGTGTCAAGCTGTGGTTGGGCTGTCTGTGGACTTCTGTGACAGGCGCGGGTGAAGTTGAGCACTAGTTTTCTGGAAAGATGGACTTGGCACGTTAGGAAGACTACGTGTGCCGGCCAGAGCTGAGGGTTATGTGGCGCCTGTTAATCTACAGATTGGATCCAAACACGTCCTTTGTCCTCCTACTGATATTTGATAATGATAACAACCACCTTTTTCTCAAGAAAAGAAAAAAATTCTTTGATTTTTCTGTTGAGTACTATATTAACTTTTTTATTTTAATATTGTCCTGTTTAGATCTGCTTATTTGTCCTTAAGTAGTTGTTAGAGTAGGATGGACGAAATTGGCTTCCTGCAGAGCTGGATTCCCTTAGGACTTTTATTTGTATAAATATTTTTCAGATTAAATTTATCCAGTGCAGATATTGAGATGTTTCAGGATAATCCTCAAAGACTAAAAACATGATAAATGACACTTAATTAACAGAAATTTTTCTAAATAAAATAATTAATTTAATAGGAAAATAACAATTATTCTGCAATCAATATTTAAAAAGCGATGAATACCGGTCTTTATTTTTTTTTTCTTTCACAGCTATAAAATTATTTTACAGTGTTACTTTTTATATTTTGATAATTATTCAGAAAGCACCTTAATGTTTGCTTAAGCTTAAAAAACAATCCATTTTCAAATAATATAATAATTTTACAGGAAATGATTTTTATTCTGGCCAAATAAGCGTAAAATTCTATCAAAACCTCTTTATTTCATAAAGCTTTAAAAAAAAACACAAAATATTTTACGCTTAGCACAAAAAACATTTATTAGTTATTAATTTTCATATTTTAAGATATTCTTGTATATCTAGTAAAATATTGAATTTCTTTTTTATTTTTAAATTTTAAGATATTTTTATATAGTTTCGTATTTTTATAAATATTCCCTGGAAAAAAAATACTCGAACAAATGGGACCTGGTCCACCTGGACATTCATGTATAGGACTCAATCCTAATAGGACAGGATCCTTCTGGCCTAAAACAAGAACAAGATAGGATCCAATTTCTTTTTTAAAACAATAAATGGGCCAGCCCATCCTAACGTTGTCCATCTAATTCAAATCTGATTATGTTTCGTACACCAACTTAAAATGCATGCGTTTTTCAGGCCGTACATGCATGGTTCCAAGGGCTTAGGAAAATAGTGAAATCCTGAATTATTATAACTATTTTGCCAACGAAATCCTGAATTGAAAGAATAGCTTTATTTGGTATCAAATAATACTATTCTCTTAATTTTTCTTTACAATAAATTTTATAATTTTTTTTTTGATTTAAATAATTTTCTTATTGAGAGAAATCGTAATTATTATTTATTAAACTAGATACGAAGCTTATATATATATATATATAATTATAAAGCCGTATTATTCACAATTTGTAAAATGAGAACTTGTTCATAAATTTTATGTTGGTATTACGGGATGAATAAATTCAAGCGTCCAATTTGAAGACTATAATTATTCATGCGCCAAATCCTTTCAAAATACCATTATCCTGATGGTGCTTGACTTTGCAAATTGCCTAAACGACACTGTTGCAGCGTTGAGTAGCTTAGGACAATATATCTAACGCGTTTCTTGAACTGAAAGTTGAAACAGAATTAGTGGGTATTCACCAATTACTTATCCCATGACTAATCCTTATTATGGACGCTCTTAACTTATTTTTTAAATTTTAAATTTACTTATTTTGATTTAATTAAAAATAAAAATAATTACAGCATGCCTATGCGCCTGAACACCCGAGACTTTTTGCAAAATCATAAAACCAGAAACAAAATAGTGTGCAGTAAAAAACGCAAAAAAAAAACGGCCCAATTTTTTTTTCCAGTTAGAGTAACACTTTCTCTGTTTTTAAATATGATTATCATATTTTTTCTTTTTTTTATTTATAAACAAAATTATAAATTTTAAAAAATATTTACTACATTTTTTAAAATTATCACTTATAAAGTTAATATTTTTTCACTAAACACATTTGTTTCATTAATTATATGGATAATTCAATCCAAATTTTTTAATTTTTGACACAATTATTACATTTAGCCAACTTGATTACACTGTATGAATTAATTATTTTTTTATTGAAAAATGGAGGGAGCATGCTGGTACTGAGAAAATTAAAAGGAAAAAAAAATAAAAAACCGTATCAGAGTATGAGATGGTGGAATGGAGGAGGAGGGAGGGTGAGTGAAAGTAAAGCAGAATTCTGAAATAATCACAATCACATTCGTAGAGGGGGCGGTGCCGAGGATGAGGGCGTGTGAGGGAAGACCGAGAACCTGGACGGAAAATTACGATCATGGAGGCCAGTGTCATCGTCCTGGAAATTCAGGGCATAGCTTGAAGGGTCGTACGTAAAATCTGCAGATCGAAACCGGCGATGATGCTGCTTCCGCCACTTCATGCTTCGGCTTTTCGGGTCGGATCTCTTGCGCCATGCTGCAGGTGAGGCTCTTCCTGGGCTCTTGATCTCTTCTAGGTGCTTGTACTCCTGATGCCTCTCAACCATGCCGCCACACAAACAACACACCCTCAGCCTCAATTTTAGCTTATGCCTCAACCACCATTCTCGCCGACTCGCCTTTTCCATTCTCATGATTCCTGTTTTGCTCCTTTTTCCTATCATTTGGATCGCACCATCTTGATCCTCCTTCAATATGTGATCCAGGTTCAGTGCGGGGAAGAGAATGGGATAAGTTATGTGTATTTGGGTTTAGAACGTCTAAGTTTAGTCGGCACCAACAACTTTCTCTAACGTTCTCGTCACCTTGTTGCTATTTTGTCACTGCATCGCTAAAATCTTGTTGTGAATAGCTATTACTTCATCGGATGTGAACATTAACGATCGTTATCGTTTGATTCTCATCAACTTTGTAGCTGTAGATTGATGGAATTTATAACTATTTTTGGAAATTGTATATTGCATAACAGTTACGTCCTGTGCTGTCAATCAATTCAGGGCGATGTCCAATTATGGATTGTAACTATCTCAGTTCAGAGTCTGTTTTTCTTGTTTCTCTCCCCATTCTTTCTGGTTTAATGTTCATGGGCCAATGTAAGCAAAGTAAAAATAAAAAATAAAAAACAGAAAAATATGGGCGGTCTATGTGTGTCATTTGGTAAGAATCGAGCTTGATTATATTGGGCTCTGAGATTAACACGTAACGGTCCTTTCAGAAGTTCACAGCCCAGAGTTGTGCGGGACAAAACAAGTACACCAACAGCTACAAAGGGATCACAGCTGATTTGCCTTTTTTATTTTCCAACAATGATAGCTAGTTGACCTGACCAACCCGAGCCGGGGGAATCCATGCAGGTGGTGGCTTGAGAATAATTATATAGCAGGCAATAATTAAAATAGTATTTGATTGGAGGGAAGGGGTAAAAAAAACCTTACCAAATAAGGAAAGGAAAAATTATAGCCTCTTCTCAAATTGGATGGATCCTTCCCTCCTCTCCCCTTCTCTCCAATCAAATAAAACTTAACTCACATTAAGCTCTTATCAACATCTTATATATATATATATATATATATATAAATTAATTACTTTTTCAATTTTTTTAACCTTTTTTTGGTTATGCCCCCTTCTTTTTATCTTGTCAGGAAAATTAAAGCGCATGTGACGTTGATGACTAATATTAAAAAATTATTTTTATTATCTCATATTAACATATTTTTTTACTTGTGTAATTTTCAAATTACCCTTTAATTTTTTCATGAATATTAACATAATATGTCTATCAATTTTATTTTCTATAGTTGGCTAACTAATAGGATCTACATGAGGGCAACGACTTACCCTCCAGATTTTTTTTTCCTTTAAAAATTTTTGTTTTTTCTTATAAAAAATTTTAAAGTTCATTTTAGCCCTTCATTGTAAAAAATTTTAAATTTTAAACTTTCACTTTGGCCCCCGTGTGTACAGTTCTGGATCCGTCCTTGATCATCGGCCAACATAGTATCAATCAATACATTTTTTATAGGAATCAATTGGTACTTTATACATAACTAAAACGAGAAAATTTCACATATGATGTACGGGGTTAAAAAAAAAAATCACCCATTTTTTCCTCTCTCTCTTTTTTTTGACATCATGTGAGCGTGTGTTTGTGAGAAGTTCTAGTTTAATGCTTGATAGCACGTGATTTTCATGTTATATTCAATGTATGGTGAATAACACATTATAATTGTTTTTTTTTTTTTCATTTTGCAAACTACACCAGTGCATAAAATACGATCAAAACAGTTGAGTAAAGATAATGGAGAGTAGATTTTCGTATTTGTTGCTTGGGAATCTCTTCTAGAATAAGAGCACGTGCATTAAAAATGGAGAAAATGACACTTATATTTTTGACAATTTTTTTAAATAAGTTGTAATTATCGATTTAAACAGTTATAAATAAAAATATCCATTACAATCTAAAAATTATATTTAATATTTAAATATTTATTCGTAATTAAAAATTTTAATTTTTAATTATTTGGATTGATATTTTCAACCTATTTTTCAAAAACAGAAAGAAAAGATTTTAGCATTGCATAAATAAGTGAATTTTAAATTCAACAATATAACTATATCTCTTACACTTGTATTAGTATTTTGACCCTGTTAATACTTAATCAAATTTACACACACATTTCAATAATCAAAATACATTCCAAAATCACAAATAATAATAAGTACAAGCGTATACATAATGCGCCCTAGTTGGTAATATTTTACCTATTACATAAAATAAATGGAAGTAAAAGGTTTTATAGTATGAATTCAACATTTCTAAGCTCTAGAGCTTTTTCCTTTTTAGCACTGAAGCTAGAGCTATAAATTTTTGAAAGGAATGAGTAAGTACAATCACTTAATAATTAAAGTATATCTACCTTATGCAATTACATATCAATTGATAAAAACACATAAAAGGAAGTTAATTACTCAAAAATATGTGGTTATACAAAAAACAAGTTGGAGTTTCACAATTAAATTTATTTTCATAATTCACATTTCAAATCTCAAGATATATTACCATAATACCCACTAACAGTTACTCGAATTCACAATTTCAATGCACATTACCACAATATAGATAATCATATAACAATGGCGTATTCATTGTCATGATTTGTCACAAATTTAAAAATCATGTGGCACGTTGGATACGCATACAAATGCATAATTAATTCCTCCATATATCTTATGACTGAAACTGTGAGCTATGATATTAATCAGGGCTCTGTCTGCATGATCGGACTATCCAAACTCATCAATTATGAGGTGTTATTTGGTCAAAGATTACCAACATTTATTCTCAAACCACGGCTTCCCCCGCTTTTTGAATCTCCAGGGTGTCGTATACCATGACATAATTCCCCCAACAAGCAGGTGGAGACAGTTAAGTTTTTGTCCCTTAACAAATTATGAAATAGTCCCTCAACAAACAATAGGACAAAGCTAACTTTTGTACACCAAAAGATAGCTATAAATATCATATGAATTTTATACTCCTCCTCGTAGGCAAATTCCTGCCAAATGATCATGCAATATCCATGCTCACTTATTTCACAATTTAATTTATCTTTTATCAACACGTTGGGCTTACAATATTACACTACTCAAGCAAGCATCAATTTATCTTAATAAATATTCTCCTATTCAATTCTAAATTTCACAACACACCTTAAATTTTCATTTAGTCATACAATATTCATAAGTTAACACAAGTACACTAACAGCACGTCACCTATCATATACTTCTCATTCTAATGCACGTTTATAGTTTGAAAATTATTTTGTATTCATATTTCATGATAAAATCAATGTTAATATGTTTTCATATAGTTCATGGTATGCTTTCACATTCACAGTTTCAAATATACATGCACATATACTCATTTTCATGATATAACACAATTAACAAATAACTACTCAATATAGGGTTCTTTCGATTACCTTGAACCTTTGAGGGATCAAAGATTTACCTCTTAATATACGCTTCCAAGCTTACTTTTTCAAGCCAAATATGATGCCCGAATGATTAATCTATAATTAATCAAATCCAAACTCATCAACATTGTCCAACACACAATTCCAACTCTAATTTTTCCCTTCTCAAATACCTAAGGTTCTTATTTCCTACATTCATGCTTATTCATTGAGTATATTAACTCTCTTTAGTTCCTAATAGCTTCGTTAAACTCTCACACTGTTATCAATGGCCTCCCAACCAAATCTAGCAACTACAGTAAATGACATTTTTGACCATTAATATACCCATAAACACCAAAATGTGTAAACCATTATTTTCAAGTTTAAATACCTCAAATAACTCTCATTAATTCCATTTAAGTTAATAAATTTAAACATATAATTTATATGGACCAAGTATCAATTCCCATACACAAACCTTAGATCAAAACTTAAAGAAAATGGGTGGGAAGGAAAAGAAGCAAGTTAGGAGATTTACTTTTGGGGTTCAGTAGCTTAGAAACACCTTCACTTTTTTTAAAATTGAAGCCCCAGCAGAGCTCTCTATGCCCTCCTCATTTTCTATTTCATTTCCTCTATTTTTTTACACGAGTTTTGTGTCTTATTTTTGTAAAAAATGAATTATGTGCCGCGACACGTGTACCACGCACCACGATGCCTATATTGCACGCCGCGGCATATGGTAATAAAGTCATTTTTCATTGGTTTTTTTTTTACTTTTTAATGTTCAGATGACCTAACTTCACTTCAAACTTAATTTTAAGGTTGAAATCACAACTCAAAACATTTATTAACTTTTTGTAACTACATAGCACATAAATCTTAGTTATTCACTAACTTTAATTAGCAATTTAACCTTGATTATCTTGTTAATTAATAAAGAATTAAAATTGGAAATGTTATATCTTCTATGCCTAACGTCCAAGAAAAAAGAAAGAAGAAGAAACCATAGGTAAAGAAAAAAGAGGAGGGAAGAAAATCATAAACGGAGGATGGGAAAGAAGAATAAAACACAGTACCTAGTTTTCAGGCGTGCGCAACTGAACTTCAAAAGCGTGATCTAGAAATAGGTGATATATGGACAAAAAGCTTGCGACATGTGCGTTGCCTTTTTATTATAGTTGACGTGAAATGATCGAATGGAGGAGCTGTGCAAGTGAGATGCTTGTAGGATATAGATACTGGTTAGCTGAGTCCATGTACTTTTGTCATCAGGTTTTTTTCTTTATTTTTTTGATCAATTTTGTTATCAGTTTTTTTTTTAAATAATATCTTTACTTATTTGCATACCTTAATATTTTGTTTATATTCTTTATAAATAAATTATTTTACAAATATCAATTTATTTGGAATGCTAATTTTTTTATAATTATTATTTCATTTATTATAATACACATATTATGTTTGACTATTTCAGTTTAATTTAATTTCATTATCGTAAACCACCTAAAAATACATTTTGGTATATCATTTTTATTTATAATGTGTAATATTTAACTAAAATATATTGTTATTGTATTTGATTCAACCTTGGTTAACCACAATTAATGTTCAATCATAGTCAATCACAGATGAACCATGAATTGACATTTTAACAAATTCAATGATCGATTTAATTTTTAAAATATCTTTTTTGAGGCAATATAGTTACAATTATAATGACATAATTAAATCGTTCCTAAATGTTTGAGCATATCTACTCTCCCTCCTCGTCATCTTCATCAATTCAGATCACAGACTCCTCCCTCTTCCTCTAATTAAATTGCATCAAATCAATTCCATAAACCCCTCACTCCACTCTCTCACTTGTTCTTCTCATGTTGGTTATGCCCCACTGCATGCTTGTTTAAGATGGGAATAACTGGTAATAAGAAGGAAGATTTTCTCATAAAAAAAGAAGAGGAATGGCAGACTCCATGACTAAATATGCACAAATAATGCCAGAATATGACTACAACTTTAGCCATCCTCCTTCTTGGCTTAGAGAGGGGTAGGAAGGTGGAAGAAATCAGCTCTGTTATACTTCCACTCTTTGATTGTTGGTATTAATGGTTTCATTTCTATTCTAATTTTTTCTTTTTGAATGTGACCACGTGTAATTTGGAATTGCAACAAGCTGTAACATGGCAAAAACAAACAAACAACAACAACAAGCCTTTATCCCACTAGGTGGGGTCGGCTACATGGATTGCAAAACGCATTGTGCTCTATCGTTTATCAAGCTTTTAAGAATATTATTAATTAAGATATCGCGTTCAACAACTTCCAAGAGTGTTCTCTTAGGCCTTCCTCTACCTCTCTTAATCGGACTCAAAATTATATGTTTCACTCTTTTCATTGGTGCCTCCCTTGGTCTTCTTTGTACATGATCAAACTATCTCAATCGATTTTCTACCATTTTTTCTTTAATAGGTGCCACCCTCACTTTTTCGCGTACGTGCTCATTTCGAATTTTATCTTTACGTGTATGTCCGCACATCCATCATAACATTCTCATCTCTGCTACTCCAACTTTATGCTCTTGCTGTCCCGTTAGAACCCAGCATTCACTACTATATAACATTGCCAGTCTGATAGCAGTGCGATAAAACTTTCCTTTAAGTTTATTAGGCACCTTACGGTCACAAATAACTCCTTTAGCTTTTAATTAAACCACCCAACTTGAATTCTATGTGAAATATCTCCACTGATTTTGCCATCATTTTGAATAATGGCTCTCAAATATTTAAACTTTTCCACTTGAGGTATAATTTGATCTCCCAATTTCACTTCCAAATTATTGTCGAATAGTCCTTTACCAAATTTACAATATAAATATTCCGTCTTACTTCTACTCAGACGAAAACCTTTCGACTCTAATATCCTCATCTATAACTCAAGTTTGCAATTAACCTCTTCTCTTGTCTCTGCTATAAGAACTATATCATCCGCAAAGAGCATACATTTCGGGATTTCCTCTTGAATATGTTCCGTCAAAACATTTAAAATCAAGTTAAACAAATAAGGACTCAGAGATGATCCCTGATGTAGTCCAATCTTTATAGGAAAATCATTTGTTTGACCACTAGGCATTCTTATACTAGTTTTTACCCCCTCATACATATCTTGTATGGCTTTAATATAAGCAATCCGTACTTCCTTTTTTTCCAACGTTTTCCAAAGCACTTCTCTTGGTATACGGTCATAATCTTTTTCCAAATCAATAAAAACCATGTATAGATCTTTATCTTTACAACGATACTTTCCATTAATCCCATTAGTAGATAAATCACCTCTGTAGTTGATCTACCTGGCATAAAACTAAATTGATTCTCAGAAATACTTGTCTCCAATCTCAACCTGTGCTCAATTAATTTCTCCCACAATTTTATTGTGTGGCTCATGAGTTTAATCCCTTTATAGTTAGTACAATTCTGAATATCTCCTTTATTTTTATAAATAGGAATTAATGTACTTCTCCTCCACTCATCAGGCATTTTCTTGGACCGTAAAATCACATTAAATAACTTAGTTAACTATCTCATCCCTTCTTCACCTAAACATTTCCACGCTTCGATAGATATACAATCAGGTTCGTTGGCTCTACCATTTATGACAAAAACAAACACTGGAACTTTTTTTCTTTTTGAATAAAACAATCATTTTCAATGATTTAGAAGATGAGAGAGAGAAATATACATATACTAAAGCTCTGTTTGGTTTAAGGAAAGGGGAGGGAGGAGGGGCATTCCCCCAAATTGGGAGGAAGTTTTGGAGGGAAGGAGAGGGGAGATTTTAAATCCTCTAACCAAATAGGCCCTGAAATGAGGGCAGCTGGAATGCTGCACTTTTTGTGAGTTGTAAGTTGTAACACCGTTTTGGGGGAGAACGTGTTTTGTTGGATGGGATGTGGGTGTTGTTTGATTTCAGCGTCTGCAAAAATTGATTTCGACATCTTAACGGCGTTTTGAGTCGTTCCACAGCTCATCCAAACATGCACTTCTCAATTAAGCGGCAAACAGGTTTTCGAGAAGTCTCCGATAGGCGATAGTCTCTGGGCTCCTTGCGGAGCGTGGGAACTGAAATAGTCGCCAACCTTACACTCTCAATACTTGAGCAATCTGCATCCATGGTGAACGCTCTCACTTACTCTGCCTCGCCTCCATCGCTGCCCTCCCTCTAAAGTATGGTTTCGTTTCATGCAGGAAACACCGCCAGAGCAGAGTCCGAGTCTTGAAGACTGCTTGAAGCTATTGAAAGGAGATCGAGACGAACAGCGCCTTGCCGGCCTTCTTCTTGTCACCAAGTTTTGCAAAGGTGATGACCTCTCCTCCCTTCGCAGGGTTTACGATGCAGTGGGACCTCTCTTTCTCGACCGACTACTTAGGACTGGTACGTTCATTCTTGTACTTGTTGCTACCTGAATTATTATTTTTGCAGGCCTTTCTGTCTTGGCGCTTATCATTGAATTATAACCATGACTTCTCTTAGGAATGGGAAAAGGAACTATTACCAGTGGCCGAGAAGATGATCGGGATGCGTATTTACAGCTATCAGTTACAGTTCTCGCTGCTTTTTGTCGTGTTCCAGAGGTTGGTTCCTTGGAAGATATGGTTTTGAAGATCCCACTTATATTGGAAGTAATGTCCACGGGGTATGATTTTCATTTTTAGTTGTTTGTACTATTTATTTATTTTTAAATCATTGTCCAGTTTGCTTTCATTGACATAATAACTGTGCTAATTAAATTTCAATTAGCTATGGCTACTATGTTATGGACTAACAAAGAAGCAAGGGTATTAAAAGGAATAGATGTGGCACAAAGTGTCAAATAGTTTTTTAAGTGATAAGTAGTCCAATTGAGCATGCATTTTGGAACACAATATTTTGGTTTCTATTCATCCTCTCCACTCAATGATTTTAGATGATGGGATTCTGAAACTATTACCTCTCAGGAATTGATTTTGCGAAGTTAATAAATGATTAACAAGGGCCTCACTATCTGCCGTTTCAAAGTTCTTTTGTTATCGATGGATATTCTTGTTGGTCTTCATCAGGAGTTTATGTGGCATTTTTTATGTTTTTGTTGTGGTCAGGGTATGCCCCTATGATATGTGCTTATTGAATAAGTTTTCAAGACGGGTTCAATTTATTACTTATCATGCATGGAGTGAATGAGAAAACAAACCGTGTTGCATTAGGTCTTTTCAGTGTCTGTTATATTGAGGGTAAAAGAAGATAGCAGTCTAGTTCCATTTTCCATTCTTTATTTTTTTACTTTGTTTTTAGGAGTAATTGTTGATTTTTTATTTATTTATTTTTTAAATCACTTGTTTAGACCAGGTTCATCTGTCCTTGAAGAATGCTTTGAATTTTTGTACTTAGTATCCACTGCTTCTGGGAATGGTATTATGAAGTTTTATGAATCTGGTGGTATCAAGATGTTAGCTTCTCAGATATCTTCTTTGCGAGATGGTAAGTTTTTCTTGTGATTTGCTTGAAGGCATGCTTCTTGGTTTCTAGGCAAAAGGAACATAATTAAATTGTTGTGGTTGATAATTCTTTATTTAGGATTAGTAACATTAGAAATTTCACTTTTCTGAGTGGCTATCCTCTTGCAGCATATACATGAAGAAACATTGTCTTTGATGGCTTATATTGCTTTATTTGCATCTCACTTCTGCCTTGGAATTGATGAGCCAAACATTATGCAGGTTCTCATCTCATGGACATCTCTCTCAAACTTGTGCAATTAATTCTGAGCAGGATATCCTTGGACATTATTATGAAGGACTGCTTATCTGAGCTTGCAGTCATCGTGAGTAGACATTTTAAAAATTTGCTCATTTCAGTGCTAATCCTCTCTCTCTGTCTGGCTCTCTAGTTTTGCAGTATTGCTGCATGGCTAGTACACTTTAAACATGATTCTTAATCTGTTGCGTGTTTATGTGTGTGTCTCTACAGGTGGCAGCAATGGCAAGGCAGTTTGCTGTCTTACACAACTCCTTGAAATTTGAAGCTCTCCATGTGCTTTGTGCTATCATTTCTTCAAAAGATGTAGTGCGTATCTTAGTCTTTTGTTTTAATACGTTAGTTTTTATGATTTAAAATCCCATTATTTACTAAAGAAAACTCTTAAAATTTACTATATATGGGGTTCATGTTGAAGCAATAATATTGACCCAGTGTGTTTGGATATAAAGTTGGAATTAATGTTCACTGTATTTGTTAGCCAGCTACTTTGCAGTGCAAGTTTAGAACATTGTTTAATAAAATGCAATCAGTATAATTTTAATTTTAAATCTCCACACCAAAGGTTCATATTTGATATTTTTTTGGTTAATGGTTCATATTCCTTGCAAGAATAACTTCTGTATTCTGCCACTTGGAAGACACACGAACCAAACTGTTGTTATTTTGGGGTAAAAAATTTCTGTTTTGTGCATAAGCATAATACATGTGACTTGGGATTAACTGAAAGTTCATGGCATTTTTAGGCACCACTTTTCAATGCCCTCCGTTTACTTCCTAATGATAGTTGGTCACATGATATGCGCACTGGTATTGTGGCCATTTTGCAGAATCGTGTTGGTATGTAGAATAACTTTGCCAGATCCTATTTGCTATTACAGTTTGCCTTTTACCCTGTTATCATCTCTTTGTATCCCAACTGGGATCTTTAGGTTTTATCAATGCCTTTCCCCTGAGAAATGCAGTTCCTTGATACTGATATTGCACATTGAAAGCTCTCTGCCTGCAAGCTGCTTGTGCAACAAAGATTGTGGAAGAGTTTCTCTGTTCATATTTTATGCTCATTGAAAAATAATTTTGGGCTGGCTGTAAATATGACTAAGAAAAACTCAAAGAAGCAGAAACATAAGGGACAGGTTTCATATCTCCTGAACTATGGTAGGGAATAACTGAATAAGTAGTAAAGATCATCAGGATAAATTTTAGTGTTCCATAGACTCTGGAAATAATTTGATACCATAGATTTGGTTTTGATATGAATAATATTATACTTAGGAGGGGCAGTAATTTATGGAGCAAAATTAAAAAATAATGCATGTAAGCTGATGTCTGGAGTATAGCCATGAATGAAATCTCTGACAATAAGTGCTTATAATCTCTTCTCTGACTTTGTGGCACTAGTTGCAAAGTTTATCTTGTGGACTATCTCCTCTTCTCAAGTCTAGGAAATTATTTCTGGCAGATGATTTGCATGTAAGATGGTTGCTGAAAACATACTTCTACGCATTTGTGAAAATACATTCAGATAATCAGTGAGGGATTTTAGAGCTGACTAACTTGTGAACAAATCATTTTACTTTTTTGAATCTGTGCCTTTTCATTTTGGATTTTTAATTAAATGAAGAAAACACTACAGAAAATAGATGGGTTTGTTCGACAATTTGGTTTTTTACTTGTAATTCATCTGCAGCTCCTGCTGTAAGGCTTCAGGCTCTCATGTTGGCAGAGTCTATCATTTCCAATTCTGGAGAGGGTTGGTTGATCAACCACGGGAGCATGAGTGATGCCCAAGATAGCCCTTCAGCTGACATGTCAGTTGCACTATTAAATATAAGCCATCTACAATGAGTGAGCCATCATATCTTTTCTCACCTTTTCCTTTATATAGGTGTCTATTGCTTGTCTTGGAGCAGTCAAGGGTTGAAGTTGCTGTTCTTCTGAATGAGCTGGCCTATTTAAAATATGAAGCACCCAAGGATACTTCAACCACTGCTGAGGCAATTCTCTTGAAGCGACGAAATGTGGCTATTGCCTACTCATTGATTGAGAAAATAGTAAAATTAATGTCAAATGTTGATGGAAATGATGGTATATCATTAGACCTTCAATTTCTTTCAAATTTATATTCTGTTTCTATCCTGGAAAAAAGGTTATACAGTAGTTTTCATTCTTATTTTGAACCAAATTACGCTAATGTAGGTTAAATCTACATTCACGTGCGATCATATACTGTTCATGCTGTGTCATTGGTTTGAAAGGCCATCTGGTATCTAGTACTACAAACAATCAAGTATGCTCCAAATATGCTTGTCAAAAGACTGACTTATAGCACCATGATGAGCTATTGCCACTATTAGATATTTAGCCAATTTTAATTTTACAACATTATGTGAATGATTAAAATCATAAACAGCACCTAGCCTTATTCGTATGACACATTAAGGCTCTTTATTTCCACTAAGTGATGAGGTGCGCCTTGGTCATGATTTTTTTAAAAATGGCTTTCGACTAAGCAAGCACATCTATTCTTGGAGTCTTGAATGCTTGAGGATGTGAAACTCTTGTAACTTCTGATGTTGACATGATTGAAAACTTCTATTTTTCTTGGGTCAACTAATGCATTTCTGATTTTCATCATCATAGTTATCTGTGTTGATGTCTGCATTTGTTTTTCATTTTGGAGTTCGTGTAGCATAGTCCAGATTTCAGACATATTTGGTGTTCAGTGGCCTAAACTATTTTGGATCTGCTGATGTTCTCTGTAATGTCATTCATATCTTTGATAATCTTTTAGGTAACTTCATTGATGAGGCCACGTTAACAAAGTTGATCTGTCAGCTGAACGATACTGTTGGTGTCATTCTAGAGTATCTGGAAGATGCAAAGGTATTGCTAATGACTGGTAATTATTAGATAGTGTCTTGACATTTATCTGCTGACTCAGTATAAGTGTAATTATGCAGGAACATGGACAGAATAATGGGGATGATTTGCTTGCTTCAGTGCGGATAATTGGGAGGTATGGTCTCATGCCACTTGTCCATCATAGTTGGAGTTTGTGTTACATTTGACAATATTGACACTTTGTCAGTTCCTTTAACCCAATTATTTCTATTCTAGTCATGCTTGACATCTTTCATACTATTCATTAATTATTTTTTCTTGCAGTTTTAAATAGCTGGACCTTTATTTTGTCTCAACCAATGGATGGTTTTCTTGGTTTTCCATCCTCCTAAGATGTATTCAGTGCTTGTAGCTATTGTTATTACATTCTCTGTACAGTAGTTAATATGAAATACAATAGTAACTAAGCTTAATGTCTGGTTCAGCTTATTGACTACTTTATAAAGTTTGGATTTGAAGAGGAAAGGTGTTGAACTCTTTTTCATGTGTTTCAGCTACCTGGCTGAAGCGCCCTTTGCATGCAAGGAGAAGGTCCAGGAACTTCTAGGGTATATGCTTTTTGTTCAAGGTGAAGATGAAAAGAGGTAGACCTGGATATATAATTGTTTGGAAGACTTTTTTCTGGCAATATTTTTGCTTCTCCCGTTTAGTATTTGGATGGCACACCTGACTTAAATTGAATACTCTATATATTATTCTGATTCATATATCCCTTTTCTTGGTGGAGTCTCGAATTTGAATAATGGTCTTTGCTTAAATTTATTACATATTTTTGCAGCCCTTTCTACTCTGTGTGCTTTTTACTTCCGATGCTGTGCCAAATTACAATGAAGGTTGAAGGGTGTAATGTTCTGGCTTCTTGTGGAGGACTAAATGCTGTAAGTTATACTTTCTTTTCTATTCTCCCTGGCCTTTATTAATTTCCTTCCCTCTCTTGTTTCTTCTATTCTGTCTCTTATGCTACTGTTATGATTTAAAAGCATGAAGGCTGGCCTTTATATATAGGTAGTTTTTGTGTGAATCATTGTCCACGTGTTCCTTTTGTCCTTCTTATTCTATAAGAACTAATGAGTTCAGATTTCTTACCACAGCATCGTCCAATAGCATCTGTAACCAGGTTTTTTCTATCTGCAAATACGTTGGGTCATGCAGGTTCTGGATTGCTTTACTAAATTAGTAGGGTCAAAAAATTATATGGTTGAGGATAATGGCTGCGTCTTCTTGGCATGTGATACAATCATGAATCTCCTGCTAAAGGTGATGTTCTTACCATCATAACCATACTTCGGATATCACCCTGGTTATGCGAAATCTTGACAGAAGTGCATCTTTTTCACTGTAGAAGGACAAATTGCAATTGGTGTTAGAGGAATCTGCTATTGTCAATATCCTAAAGGCATTGGCATATTGGGCAGGTACCTGTCTCTAAGTAACGACCTTTAAACTTTCTGCTCCACTATCACATAATATGTTATAACTGCAGGGTAGATCCTCTTCCAAAAGATTGACTTGTTAAGAAGTTTGAGCCTTTAGACCTATAAGCCAACTCAGGCATCTCATGCTAATGACTTGTTTGAATTGAATTCTAGACATCTCATGCTAATGACTTATTTGTATTTGGTTGATGTAACTATGCTTTAGAATAATAAATATTTTCTGTTAATTAACTTTTATGTTTCATAATCAATTAGAATATTAGATTATGAGCACGCGTTTTTGCGATATGTGTTGCACTATTCATGACGTCTAAATATATTTTATATTGATATATTAATGTTGATGTCAGCAATTAATATTTTTTCTTTCGAAAGAATGAAGCAAAGGATTTATAATTGATTTAGTTACTGAAACTTGGTCTGCAGAAAACACTGGAGACACATCAAGTATGATGATGGCTTCAAGCATATGCGCGCTGATATTTGATTACACATCCGAGGAGTCTCTCTTGAATCATCCTGATTTCAACCACAGTGCTCTTCTCAGTCTTTATCAGCTGATTGCTAGATGTCAGGCTTCATCTAGACAGGTGATTTCTAGATTACCTTGCATTCACACCCTGTTCCTTTATTTTAATTTTTAATTTTTTTTTATACTCATCAATCTGTCTACTTTGTGCCGTTTTTTTTTCCCCAAGTCTGGATATTTGTATCTCTTGCAAGAGAACGCATAACCATCAAAATCTGCCCTTTGATTACATGTGTACTTAATGCTGCTCATCATTGTGAATCACGAGTCCAGCATTCAAATTCCTGCTTATATCCTCCTCAATCTCCTTAGTAGTGGTTCCCCTCTCTTTTAATTTCTCTGCCATTTAACAGTGACCGTATAAACTTTTAAATCAATTGTTATTACTCACTGCAGGATACTAAAGCGGACATGGATCTTGTAGAGATTGTTGCTGCAGGTACACACCACTCATCTGCGTTTCTCAGGGGATCAAATGACGCAAAGCACCCTAGACTTACATTCCATAGAAACTAAAATAAAACCAAGATGGGGAAAGATGACGACTTTGGTTGAGGGGCGAATGGGGGGGATTGTTTTATTAATTTATTCTCATTTCTCATACATTACATAGACTTTCTGATTTATGGCTCGCTGCAACTCAATGTTGTGCAGGTTACTCTCGGTGGGCTCATCGATACCCTCACATAGGGGAGGTCATCAAAAACATGACTTGATGCGATACTTGGTACCGTGTTGATGCTTCCGAGTCTCGACGTGGCAGGACGATGTGGTGTTTACCCAATATTTGTGATTTGTGATTGCGTTTTCTTATTGCTATTTGTTGTTTAAAGTGGCTAGTTGTTGAGACTTGTGGGGCTAGGCTAAGCAACTGGTATGCCCCCGTTTTCAAAGTGGCCACAGCTGCCTTGTAGTAGTTTATTATCATATTAATTCAGAAGGTAGGGTTTTATCATTTATGTCATGTTACTGAAGGGTTATCAAATTAAATTTATTAGTTTAGTTAATTCGAAAACTAGGGTTTCTATTAAACTAGCAGAATTTCCGTGCGATGCATTGATTTTACAAATAATTTATGTTTTTATATTAAACGAAGTGTATGCAAGCGCCATGTCTCACCTCAATGCAATCTCTAAAACTGGTTCAAGTTCGACCGGCAGCAGCTCCATTTCTTCGTTTGTTCATGAAAGCTGGGAAACCCTTGTCCCTATATTGGCACAAAAATAAAAAAGTGATTTATTCCTTTAAATTATAAATTAAAAAGTCATTTGCTAAAGAAATTAATGTGCAACGTTGCTGGCTTGATAGCGGATGGGTCATGAAGCTGGTGCAAGACGAGTAGACCACTGAGGATGAAAATTGTTAAGAAGACCAGGACGTGGCGTTTCGTTCCACAAAAAATGTTCCTAAGAGATTCAACAATGACCTCAAAATGCACGACTCGATCAACCACATTGGCCCACACGATCTTTGAGCCTGCGCTGGCTATCACGGCTACTTCAACCCGTGCTTGTTTGAGAACCTTCAAGTCTGATTTATTCTGTTGTTACAAGTTGTGAAGGCTCTCCTACCAGAAGAACTACTAATTAAAGAGCGTGCTAGGAAAATCAGGCCCATTTGATAGACCTTGCACGCCATTATATTCTGAGGGATGTTATAGTATTGGGTATCAAGCCCCTCTCTTCTTGGTTAAACAGCCAAAACCTTGATGCATACAAATATATATTTATCATCAGTGTACCATTCGTAATTAGTAAGTGGTAAATCAAGGTTGATTTTATAAGAAATCAAGTTAATTGATAATTAGGTAATAAAGTCTCCATTTTCATTTAAGTTGAGCAAAGCAAAATATGGATTTGATTTTTTTTTTTTTGCAAAATAAGGATTGAAATTAGAAAAATATGATAAAATTAAAATTCCAACAGCCACAAACAATGAATGCAACCTAGGGTGGTTAATCCCTTATTCAATTCATAGAGCATGTAATTACCCAAATAAATTCACTTAATATTAATTTGTTAATCTAGAGTGTTAATAGAAATAATTATCTTCTGATTAATTACACCCTCTCTTGAATTAATATGCTATTCCTAACATAATTATCCAAGAGGCAAAAATGCATAAATCCACTCTAATGTAATTATATAGGTTCAATAGGTATATTCCTATCAATATATTTTAATCTCACATTACTTAATTTAATAGTCTAATTCAAATTTTTCTCTTTCAAGGCAAAATCTAAACTCCCAAATTCACACTTAATGGTAATCAAACATTAAGTAGACAAATAAGTATAAGATTAAGTAAACAAAATTAATATTAAACTCAAATAAATGGTTCAAATATGCTCTAATCTAAAAATCAGTTTATAGCTACCTAAACTAAGAGAAAATCAGCCACACATGGCTTCCATGACAGTAAAATCAACAATATATACAGTAAAGTAAAGAGAAGAAAGAAAAGAAAAGCTTAATCGAAGCAATTTTAAGCAAAACCTTTAATTTTTCACTAAATTTAAGCTTCTTCAATCCTTCTTTGACTCTTTCTCCTCTTCCTAGACGTTCTGTAGTTGTTGAAGGTGAAGAATGCACGAAAATGATGTGTCCAAGTTTTAAAAATTCATCGAGAGTCAAAATTATGTATTTTATTAAAATCGCGTTTTACTGCAATGAAATGCATTTTTGTTGCAACGAACATGAACTGTTTAGATTTTTTTTCAGATTTAATTCTTTTGACTTAGGCTCTAAAATTTTCTTCTTTGAGCCCTAAATTAGGCCTCCCTATATGCATAAAACTCAGAATAAATGATAGAATTGGTCCATTAACTTTTAACATATTTTCAAGCCCATTTTCACATACATTTATCCACTTAATTATATTTTTGTTAACAAAATTCAAATGAATGACTTTCAATTACATTAAAAACACTAATAAATTTAATAAAATATTGAACGTCATCACAGGTTCACTGGTTTTTTACGAGCAAGAGAATAATCAGAATAAGAAGGATAAGGTATGGCTGGCATGGCCACGATCGAGCACTTGATAACATTTTCGCAAAAGCTCATTTTCTGGAGCTTTTGCATTACTCATTTGTTGTCACCAACGTGGATGTTACTATCTTAGCACATGAGAGGCGCTTGGTGGCCTAATCTACTTATATGCCCATTAACATGCGCACCTATGCACATTACCTGATCGAAATTTGCAAGCCCGAGTTCGTGATACTGTTTAGTTACCATCCCATGGAAGATCATTGGTGGAAGAGACTACAGTCCCTGCCGTCAAAGAATTCTCAGTGATGGGCGTAAAATTTTGTCCCACTAACATTAATGGTGGTTTAAGCACAATCTAATTCCCGCTATTCATTTAAACGACATTTCAGATGTGAACAAATTAGAGGTGTAAATGCTTACTGTTGGGCGAGTTGGAGCTTGGAAGGTGAAGCCCAAAACTTTATGTGAAGTGGGATATGGTTCCGTGCACAAAATGTTCTCCAGATGGCTTCAGTTTCATCTTCGATAGACTTCATCAAATAATTGCAAAAGTAGAATAGCTGAGTGACAGGACACTACTGGACTTATTGATGTAACTACAGAAACAACTACATATATAGTTTCTCTTCAATTAAAACCCAACTCAGTTTGAATTCAAACAGGAAGATCTCACCAAATATAGATTATTTGTATAATTTGCAAAAAAAAAAAAATATCTGGCATGATTTTATGTGGAAAAGAAAGAAAATGATGATGGATTGAAAACGATTTAAGAGCATTTCCCTTTGGATGAAACTAAGAAGGACCCATGCTGGCAATCGACTTTTGTAATAATTGCATGTAATATTCAGAAATTAGAATTGGAAGTACCAAGGTCATCGAGAAGCAAAAGAAAAATCAACCTTAACATTATCTGCAGCATCATGCATGTGCATCTTCGCAGTGACTGATAAACAGTATTGTGAACCGTTCCATTTTTCCCGTTGTTTCTCCCTCCTTTCTTCTTGGTCTACGTACGTATTCTCTGTTCTGGGCACCCAACATATGATTGATCATCATTCATCATGAATTTGCTTAATACTATATAGCATGTCAATGTTTAAAGAGACTTGAAAACATTTACAGAAAATATCCAGCAATGACATATACTATAACACTATACAGCATGTGAAGGGGAAGTTAAGCAAACCATTTGTTTTGGTATTTCTCGTAATTGAAAAGGGCGGGAAAGAGAATGGGGCAGAAAAACCGGCAGAAATGTTGGATGTATAAAGTCAAAAAGTGTGTCAGTGTAAGAGTTCAGAGAGGCACAACGTTGGGGAATGAACCCCCAATCCAATTACTCACACGCTGTCTGGGCCCTCCCCCTCTTTCACTTTTGACCTTTCTCCCACATGGGTCCACCTCCACCCTTAACCCAAAACAATGCTTGATTTACGATCACCACCGATATATTAATATAGAAAAATGCTGCATCATATTATCTTCACTGTAATTAGAGGCGGACGACATCATTCATAGAACAAACATCAGTCTTTACCTTCTTTTACATTACCATGCCACCATATATTCGTAAATAGTAAACACTGGATAAGGGGAAAAAAATACTGGAGAGATGGTTTACATTACACGAGTTAAGATGACATGACAATGAAATGGTTTACAGCTCTAGATTGTCTTTTTAGATGATTTGTCAGTATAATAATAAAAAAGCTACTTTTTTTGCCGGAAAAAAAAAAAAGCTACTTGCTCGTTTGCAAGAGCACATCCCTAGATTAATTAATCTACAACAATACGATTTTCATGGCCTGATTGATTTTCCGGGCATAGACTAGTGGTGGGGTATCCTCAAGCCTGAAACATTGCGAGCATCCAACGCTCTGAGCCCATACCATCATTACCGTTAACTCTTTCTCGAGCTTCCTTCCCCGTTTCTGTGTGACTGTCTCCGTCACCCTCTCACACAGGCAGAGGCAGAGAGGTTGCTAGAGGCAGTGAATAGGGCATTACTAGCGTCGTCTCTTTCTCTGTTTCTCTAAAACACGATGCTTTATCCCCGGCCACCGCTCCATTTTTCTTTTCTCGCCATCTTTCTCTTCCTTACCCTCCCACACGCAGCTTCTCACTCTCACTTTTCCTTTTCACTCCTCCGAGATCAACCCATTCCAGGTATTTCCCTAACATCCTCCCTCTTTCTGGTGGATTTCTCACTGTTTATAGCTCAGAAAGTCTTAGAATAGTGGGAAACTCGTAATGCATTGCAGAGTAATAGTAATATTTCCAGTGTTTGTTGATAGCTTCACTCCATCAAATCTCACTTTTGCATTTTACTTGCTGGACCGAAAAGATTTACATGTCAAGGTCTGCTTAGATGTTCTGGTAGTCTCTAATTTCCTTTGTTTTTTTTTTTTTTTCAGTGGGAGAAAGCGAGGACAGTATTGTGGGTTTTTACCAGAAGACTTTGCCAGAAAGGTCCCTCCTCTTAGATGATATAGCGGCCGAACCATTTGAGAACTCGCCCATTCCATTTGAGAACTCCCCCATCCCATTTGAGAATTCACCCATTCCATTAGCTGCTGAGAGAACACGAAGAAATGACCCTCTTAATGGGTTCAAAAAGTACACCAACGGATGGAACATCAGAGACCGCCATTACTGGGCTGTAAGTTCTCTGATTTGTGCGATATTAATTTGTTACTGATTAGTGTTTCACCTATTATGACTTAAGTTCAGAAGTTAGCACCTGATTTTCGTTTCTGGACCTTAAAAAAATATTGGAATATTTCTTTTTTCCCCCTTGTTTTTAAGAAAAAAAGGGGAGAAACACTTGTGTAATATTCCAAGCTCAATGACAGAAGGGCATTACTGGATAGCGTTAGGTGTAATAAATAAATTCAGTCCTTGGTCTACACCTAACAACTTAAAGCTTTTAGGATGAGTGCTTCGTTGAGACAATGAATTGATGGAGTATGAAAGGATAATTCTTGCTTTAGAAGCATAGGGAATAAGTTAACGGTAATGTCGGTACCTGAAGTACAATTGGTAGGATTAAGCAAAGCGTGGCTGTGTAGAACGTGTATCCATAAAATTAATTTATCAGCTTCAGAAGATGCTTCCATGTGGCTGTTGTTTTGAGGTGATGATAGTTATAAGTGGGGCCTGCAGCTTTCGGAGCAGAGAACCATGGCATTCTGTGATTTCTTTGTGATAGAGCTACTTGTGTTTGGAAAAGCAAGCTGATATAGGAAGGTGATCGGTCTTTGGTTCGAGGTTGTCAATATTATAATTTTAACTCGTGAAAAGTTTCATGGAAAAGTTCGAGATAGAAATAGAACTGCTATAAATAGGAAATTAAATCAAAAATTTTTAGGAAGCATCAATGAAGTTGTGTAGATAAATATTTGTCCAACCAGTGTTCTTTCTTTCTTTCTTTCTTCCCCCCATTTGGTGGGGTAGGTTGTCTTACATAAGCTTTTTAAGCCAGTTTGTTAGTAAGCTCGATTGATAATTTCTAAGTTCTGACTGAATGACATCTATGTACATATTCTAGTTGTTTTGAGGTTTTGTTTTCTAAATTCAATACTGTTATCCAATGCATGGCCTTAAATCCTGGTTATCTATAAACACAGTCTACTAATTGCTTTTGTTCTTGTTGACTGCAGTCTGTAGCATCTACTGCCGTTCCTGTATTTGTTGTCGCTGCAATCTGGTTCCTGGGCTTTGGCGTGTGCTTATTGCTCATATGTCTCTGTTGCTGCTTTCCTAAAAGAGAGCCTTATGGTTATTCTCCAGCATGTTATGCTGCTTCCCTCATTCTCCTCATATTATTCTCGTTTGTAGCAATGTACATATCTCTCTCTCTGGCTGGTTTCTGGTAGATTGGATCTTGTATCGCAAATTGATATTATTTGTTCATACTTGACAGGATTGGATGTTTCATTCTCTATGTTGGTCAGGGAAGCTTTCATCATAGTACCACAACAACATTGGAGTATGTTGTAGGTCAGGCTGATTCTGCTGTGGGTAAACTCAGAAATGTATCTGACTATCTTGCTCAAGCTAAACAGGTTGGAATTGATAGAGTTTTTCTCCCCACTAATGTTCAAACTGATATCGATGACATCCAAGCGAAGATCAATGCTTCTGCTGGCACACTCGCTGATCAAACTGAGAAAAATGCAGATGACATCCAAGATCTCTTAGATTCTGTGTAATGATCATGTGTCCTGCTCCATTTTTATTTTACCTTTACTTTTTCCCCCATTCTGTGACATAAATATGGTGACACTTAACAGAAGGGTGGCGCTTATCATAATAGCTGCTGTTATGCTACTCTTGACATTTCTCGGATTTTGTAAGTCCCTTCAATGTCCAAATTATAATGCTGAATTTATTAATTCTTAAGGTGGTATTCATTTATGGTTTGTTACTTCAGTGTTCTCCATCTTTGGACTACAGGTTCTCGTGTACATGTAAGTGGAATATTCTTTGAATCTCATTTTTCTATCTGCCGCAGACACAATGCATTTAAAATTATTTTCTCTCATAAAATGCTTTGACATGAATAATTGCAGCTTGGTGATCGCAGGATGGATTTTGGTTACAGGTACCTTTATTTTATGTGGCTTCTTCCTCCTTCTCCACAAGTAAGTTCCGTTCCTCACCTTTCTATAAGTTCTGAGATATAAATTCCTTCAACTCTCTGAGAGGATACTGCTACATCTTCATGCATTAATTCTTAATAACGAATCAAATTCTTGGATTGTCGTCAGTGTGACAGCAGACACTTGTGTAGCTATAGATCAATGGACTCAGTTTCCCACTGAACATACAACGATGGATGAAATTCTGCCATGTTTGGACAATACCACCGCGCAAGAAACCTTGTCAAGAAGCAAAGAAGTAACCTCTGAACTAGTCAACTTGGTTAACCAGGTCATCACCAACGTATCGAACATAAATTTCGCCCCCAACTTCACCCCACTCTACTATAATCAATCTGGCCCCCTCATGCCTCTCCTCTGCAACCCTTTTCACCCTGACATGACAGATCGCCAATGCGACCCTGGTGAAGTTACCTTAAGCAATGCAACTCAGGTACTTTACCAACGACCCTTGAGCAAATGGCCCATTTTTGTCCTTATGAAGATAATCCAAGTGCTCATTTTGGGTTTGACGAAATGCAGGTGTACAGTAACTTCGTGTGTCAGGTCTCGCCAAATGAGATATGCATGACACAAGGGCGTTTGACCCCTTCATTCTATAACCAAGTATCTGCTGGAATCAACACAGGGAATGCATTGTATAACTATGCTCCATCCCTGGTCGACCTTCAAAACTGTAACTTTGTTCGAGAAACAGTCGGTGAGATATCTCAGGATCACTGTCCTGATCTACGACGGTACAGCAAATGGGTGTATGCTGGGTTGGTAATGGTGGCCACCGCGGTGATGTTGTCGCTAGTGTTCTGGGTTATTTTTGGGAGGGAGCGTCGCCATCGCCTGCAGTCAAAAGAGTTAACGCCTGCACCACCACCGGCACGACCCCGACCCCGACCACGAATTCCTCGAGAGGACAAAAATAATATGGCACTAGTACCTAGTACTTGACCTCTTTCCACAAGAACAAATAGATGTGAACAAACCCAGTTTAGCTTCAATTTCACGGCTTTTCTTGTCTTTTTCGTTAGGCCCGAAATTCTGTCAAGTACTTTTTCACGTCAGCGTAGAGGCCCTACTTGGAATACCGTCTCCGCCATGTTTGGGGTAAGCAATTCATTGAGCCCGGCCCACAATTGACACTGTTGAATTCGAATCAATTAACGAATCTGTTGTTCCATGGAGAAGTCTGTGGCAGACTGCTACCTATATTAACACACCCATATGACTAGATATGGACCTCGAGGATGAAAAGAAAGCAGAGATATGGGCAGACACAATATTCGGAATCTAATAAAATAAGTCACGTTATTAATATGGTTTATATGATTTCTATAATTCACTAATTATAATTATGATGATAATATATTAGATTCTCCCACTTCCCAGCCCTACCTACTGGCACGGCACGAAATAAAAGTCTTCGCTACTTCTACATCTTGTTCCGTGGTGCTATTGCAAGAGAATGCTAAGATTTTATGATAATTATACACGTAAATCGAGAAACTTTTATTTTTTTAGTGTAACAAGCAACATTGTCGAAGTCATGAGAGTTTAAATATAGTAGGGAATGTAAATTTGGATAGTAAATTTATAAGAATATACATTAATTAATAAATAGCTATTAAAAATATATGATTAAATAATTAATATAAAATATGACTCTAATTTGTTTAAGTATATTTTAAACATAAAAAATGAAATTAAATTAATTTATATTGATAGATTATCATACTCAACAAAAAAATTTTAAAATAAGCTAACTTATTTTTTGTATTTATTGATTCCTTTTTTATTAATATTAGTTTTTATTTTTTGAGTTTTTTTTTTGAACTAGGTCCTATTAGTTTTATAATCTGAATTTTATACTATATATACCTAGCTCCCTCAACTTGCTAAAAAATTTGAGGTTATTAAATTTGTATCTAATCTGAGTTTATAAATGAATTTACACAATTTTGTAAGCTAAAAACACAAAAACAATAGACTTAAAGAGTCAATTCATGAGTTTAATTGATGTTGCATTTAATCTTAATTTATGAACGAGTTGACACAATTTTATAAGTTAAAAATATAAATTTAATAAACTCTAAAAATTAACCTGAGAGTTTGACACCTGATGATAATGAGTAACAAACTTTTGTCATTTGACGGTGAAAATTATTGCGAGTTTGATAGTAAGGCGTGGCCGCACCTTCACCTTCACTAGGAAATCACGTAAGATTCTCAGTGTGCAAATAATTTTTTTAAAAAAAAATGGGTGGCAAGATTATTAGAGATAAAAAAGTGAGGGTTTCGTAAAAGCCAGACACATGGAAGCATAGGTTAGACAGTAATTTTATCAACGGAAAAGGATATGAAGTTTAAGAGACAAGCTTTGTATATAATAGTGATATTGAGAATCCTAATCGCAAGGTGGGAAGCACCCATGTGAAGGGAAAAGCACTATGTCTATGGAGCTGCAACAAACACAGCCTAATCATGCGGGAGAGACTTTGCCACCATTATCCTAAGTTCCTAACTAATCCATGCTTTCTTGCTAATTTGATGCCAAAAATATCTCCACATGATTGGCCACTAGATCATGAGTTGATGACACCGATGCATAGAGGGCCAAAAAGAAACATTTGTAGGTGGACTGTGATTCGCGTAATTTGGTGCTGCTCTGTAAATTGATGTCAGAAAAAAAATCAAAGAATTGAAAAGGCAGCGCTTTTGATATTAGGAGCAACCCTTGTTGAACGTCCTTGCGTCCACCAGTTATGATTTCTGAACCAAAAATGGGGCCCCACAACAACCTAGAAGATAGATTTGAACACTACATTAGCGCCTCATTGTTAGACAGGCCTCTGTTTTTCCCGTGCTGCGAAAAGAGGACCAGTCTGAGCAGCAGAAAAGTCATTTACCAGTTTTGATTTTTGAACACCTCAACTCAAGTTTAGGTGGCCTGCAATTTAGTTTAAGTAACATCATTAAGCCCGGCACATTTATTTTCTGAACTGCACCGGGAAGAATGGGTTTTGAATTTCTTTTCTGAATTTGGTACATGCTCTGCGCATGACACTTGCATATTTCACATACTCTTGTCTGATTAAATCAAAATAAGTTCATAATATTAATAAAAATAGTTTGACATCAAAATAAATTTACATGTCTTGATTTAATTTCAAAAAAATATTTAAGTACATGCTGCAAAAAACACCTTAGGTGTATATATAAAGCTCAGCACCAAAATTATTTTTATATAATTCTCCATCAATCTTTAATATGCTACACTTTTAACTATTGCACACTGGTTGAGGAAAAATGATTTACGACCGAGTAGTTTGTATCATTAAAATGGTTAAAAGTATTAGTTCTAAGATTACAGTCCAATTAAAATCAACATGCCTTAATTATCTTCAATTTCTTTTTTATATTATCTGTTTGCAACGCAATTAAATTAATAAAGACATTTATGGAAATAAAACATTAATATTACTGATTTTTTTTTTTTGGTAAAGTGTCTTGTCTTTGAAATCATTTGCAAAACTTCTAATGCGTGTTTAGTATTTTGAATACCGATAGGCAAGAGAGAAAGATTGTCTAGAAACAGGGAAAAGATGCATGCAGGTGTAGATAATTAGAAAGTGAAGCGTGTGAAAGGTGTTGCTCCCAGACTCCTGGGGGCTGGGTCCGTAACGTAACTCTTGTTCAAAGTCAAAAGATTTGTAACATGTGCTTTTTAATTCCGTGTATTCATAATCAACAGTAGACCGCAGCTTAGATGTTTGGGTTTGCCGTGCTTTTTGGATGCTGCTTGTTCTATTATTGGGTCTACATTATTCAGTAAATACTTTGTTTTATACTTTTATATAATATTTTTTAATAAAAGCGAGTCTCGTGTGCAATTATATTAACTTGTTAATTATAAATTCTTATGCTGATTATATTATTATAAATGATCTGAAAGTGTTATTTATTTCTTCCTTTCCAATGGCCGTTACTTGCCATCTTTGAACCCTGCTGCACACTTGAACCGGTGCCCGACTTTTGCTCGCCTTTTTCCGATTTATGAAACAGCCTCCTTCGCTTTCATATTTACTGTACACTTGAAGCTTGCGCGTCTTTTCCTCATTAACTGACTTTGATGTTCTTCCAATCACCCATTCTTCCCACAAGAAAGAAAGGCCAGTGTCTTCATGTATCTACATCATTACTCAACATGCCCTGCTTGTTTTGATATTAAAAGCATTTTACTTTGCTGCGTGAAAATTTTAGAAGCCTGACCTTGTTCCCCGAATTATCATGCATTATTCAAACCCAGAACGTGGCTATAACACCCCACTATAATCAACTTGTTCCTCTTGCTCGCAGCCTATCCTCCAGGTCGACGACCACAAAAACTTCAAAATTATTTTTCTTCAGGATAAGGCTCTCCCGGCTTGCTTTTTTTTTTTTTTTCTTTTTTTGGGGGGGTGGGTGTTTCGATACAGGATTGATGTATACGGATGGTTTACTCCATTAAATAAAAATGCAGGACAAGCTAAGAACAAGACCGCGCAGGAAAACTTGCTTGGTCAGATCCAAACAATGAAATACTTATGCAACTGTGTCGGAATCAATCGGAGTCAATTGTTATCGATGGAATCAAGAATCCCCTGTTTTATATTGAGAAGTAGCGTTTTGCACATTTCTGGTCCTTTTCACCTTCACGTGCCCCTGCTTTCTTGTGCATTGTTGGACACCACATGTATTTGAGGTAAGGATGTCCGTAGGACAGGACAGGATCAAAACAGTCTCATCTTGTATTCCATCTCAAAAAAAAAAAAATTAAAATTAAAATTAAATTTTCATCTGGTGTCTCATCTCATTCTCAAGATAGTCCCTCTTGTTAGGAGTTGAAATGAATTGGGACATCTCACAGTCCCAATAAATTTGACATTATAAAAAAAAGATCTAGATAATAATAATAATAATAATATTAAAATTTTAAATCACATAATTTATTAAATTAAAAATTAAAATAATACAAGTATATAAATTATAACAATTTATTGAATTATATCAATTACAATTACAAGTATATAATGTATTATAATAACAATTATAAGTTATCTTTAGGCTATAATAACAACAGACAAGCTAAGTACAATATTAAGTCATTGTTATTCTTCTTTATTTGAGACATGTTAAGTTAATTACTCTTTTAAAGATAAAATAAGAAATACCCTGTAAACAAGAGTTATTAAATATATATGTATATATTGTATTAATATAATTAATATATTATAAATAAAGATATCGCCCTGTACTGCTTATTCTGTGTCATTAAAATTATTAATATAAAAATTATTAATTTTAAATAAGAATTACCCGTGTTGAAATTATAATTAATATAAACATAAAATATATTGATATAATTAATAAATTTAATATATATTGATATATTTAAAATTATATAATATTCGGGATGAGAGGGGATGTTTTGAGGACAATCTCACGTCTTGTCCCATCCTTAACTCCTTTCTTATCCTGATTATTTTCAAGTTGAAATGAGACCTGTCCTGATATGATTAAGACAAATACAAGTTAAACACTCATAATTTGAGGAAGGGCATTGGGGAAAATGACATGCATGGGTATGTATTGTTATATTTTACAATTTGTACCCCCTCTTTCTTATACTTTGCACTCTTTTATTTTAATATTTTAAACTTTAAATTCATTTTAATCTTATTTTGTAGCCTAGATCTATTTAATTTTTTAAACACAAAGACTAGTAAATATTATCTCATAATTTCACTATATCTAAATACTTATATTATTAATTAATCTTTTAAATACTAGAAAAAAACTTAATTGATTAAAACTAGAGCCATGTCGTCCTTATTTTGAATGTTAATCAAGGACCAATTAGAAAAGGGCAATAGAAAATGAAAATTGAAAGCTTAAAAATAAACTTATTGAATGTTTTTTGTTGGCCGTTGTATTTATTTTTTTTTTTTGAATAAAAGGCTATGATAGAATCGTATATTTATAAGTTTTTAATTGAAGATTGAACTTAAAAATAAAGAGAAAGAAAGAAAGTGAAGGGATGAATTTGAAGTAGACAAACAAATTTTTCTTTATGTTTATGATTTTGGCTTTATCACTGCCCCTTCACACAAGATTCCGGCTCTGCCATCGCCCATCAGTTGGATTTCCCCTGCCATCTATTTGATTTCCCGTTGGCGTCCACCGATCTTCTTCGTCTTCTGGACCATTGATCGGAGATATTCGAGCTCCTGTCTAGTCGAAGGACAACGAGGAGATAGGAGGTTATAATAAACTGTTTTTTAAAAGAATAGATAAATAAGGTTATGAAATTTTAATAAAAATATCATGTTAATTAAAAGAGTAAATAAAATTAAGGGAAGGGCAAAGCGGCTACTGTCCATGACATAAAAACAAATTTATCAAGTTTGCGTGCTTCTATCAACATCAAGCTCCCCTAGCCGCCAGTGGACAATGCCACCCTCATATTTGGAAAAGATCTCGGACGTAATCTTGACATTAACACGTTTAATTTGCACTCAGCCTGATATATATGAAGGAAGAAAGGTCATTGTCATATATATTTTTTGAACGATGAACCTGATTGCTCATAGGTTTTACTCCCAATAACAGGGTTTAATCTTGAGTATGCTATTCACGTGTGTCTCAGCCAATCTCTACTTCCAAGTTATCATTTTTAAGATGTACGCTGAAATATCTATCCAAATATCTCCTCTAGATAGAAGTAGAGCCAGTATTTTTTTTAGAATGTTATGATCTCGGGGATCAGAAGAAACGAGTGCTTACCTTTTGAATTGCTTTGTTATGGAAACCATACAAACCATTGGGTTTTAATTGGGCGCTATTAATCAGGAGAAGTTTGACACGTCACAATTATAAATTTAAAAATTTTAATTGCAAATAATTTATTTTAATTTCACACATAACTCTTATATTGTAATTAATATTTTTGCCTCTAACCATGTGAATAGATATCTGTAACTTAATTTTTTTAATTTCTTTTTTCAAGAGCCTGCCGATCATTAAGTCAATCTTATGAGAACTGAACATATATTTGTCTTTGATTTTTACATTTTCTTCAAACCACTTGCAAAATCAAGGTGCCAGATGTAGATGCGTTTTTTTTTTTTTTTTGGGTTAAAGAACAGTGATAGAGTATAGGTGTTACATGTCCAACAAGCCAAAAAATACCAAAAAGTTCAATGTAAAGGCAATGAAACAAAGTCAAGAGGCTATCAATCAACCTGTGGTCTAAGAATATAAAAGAATTACATGAATGGTTGCATGAATGATAATGCTTTCCTTGATTGCAGTAGATTGATTAGCTTAATAATTTAAATATTAGTTTAATATTCTGCTTAAACTTTGTTTCCTATTTCTAGATTAAAATTTTATCTAATAATATAATCCCATAATATTAAAAGATACAATTCCTAAATTATGCGGCTAAATTTTATTATTTAATTAGCATTTTCATCTAAATTAGAATTTCTAAATTAGAGTTTTTGAGTTTTATCGAGTTGCGTATATTTTAAGTGTGCATTTCTACATTGTAACCTAAATTGAATTTGAATAATAAAATTATTCTTATTTTTTAAAGTTTATAATTTTTATGAGCTTTGGTGCTTGTGGTAGGCATTCATGACTAAGCTTTTGATCAACTTTTATGGTGTTTTCAAAAGTTAGAATTACTAGAAGTAGGTGTTTTGGATAATCTCCTCCTCAATCTCTATTTTTCTTTTGCTACTTCATTTCCTTCCTTTATTTTTTTTTTCTCCATATTTTTGTTCCTTTCTTTTGTATTTCTTGTGTTTACTTTGTGTTTTTAATATTTCTTTATTTTTTAATGTATTTTCACAGTCAATAGTCACAAAACTGATTTTTTGAAGAATTTGATCACTATTTAACGAGTTTCTCTTAAATGATACTCAACATGTATATTTTTAAGAATCAAAATTTAAAATGGCACTTAAGGTGTCCATAACGTTATCATACATGCCACGTTCACTTGATTTTATACATTACATTTTTTGGCCAACTATTGTTTTTAATAAATTGGCACCAAACATTTCCACTGGCTTACAACAAAAAAAAACAAACAAACAAACAAACAAGGGGTGACGAAGCTCGACGCCAATGTGAAACAGTGGTAGTGGAATGTGAAAGGCACGCGATTCGCTCCATGAAAAATTCCCGCGCAACCGCAACTGCAAATTTGCTGCGGCGGCAACCTGCGGTTACTGTTATTTGGCTTTGACCTCCAACCCTTTTACTAAGTAAGAAAAAAGTAATTTTCACGACACTTTATCGACAAATAATATTTTTTTATCAATGTCTCGCACAAAAAATGATGTTTTTTTATGTGCGGAATTTTTTGATTGCAAATAATCATGTTCAAGATATAATAAGCATTAGAAATAGTAGACACAGTTATAGGCCTTAACAAAAATTCAAACATTAATTTTTGTATTACGAGATACTAGCTTGTTTTACTAGATCTAAACCTCTAAATAATCTATATTAATTCATTGTTTATAAATAATTAATAAGGTGATTTGTTTTAAATTTAATGTAGATAAATCAAACCACTCTAATCTGTGTCATTGATCTATGTTTCGTCACTGTTTCATCCATTTAGCTCAACCATCCATTTTTCGGATTAAAACATGATGAAAAAAATATCGATGTCATGCTTATATATCAAGGCTATTTTTGGCCAAAAATTGAATTAATATCATAAAATCATTTTATTACAGAATCATGTTAAAATCTTGAGAATGATTACGTTTATTAATAGTATTCACACGTTGTGGCGTATGAGAAATATTATTAAGGTTAAATTATGCAAAACTTATCTAAACTTAAAACCATGTATAAATAACCTTCATAACACTTAAAATTTAATAATAAACATTTTTAAACTTTGAGGTTTGTGTAAATAACTTCCAGTCGTTAATTATATAACTCTGTAAACTTTATTTTTATATATATTTAAGCCCTCAAACTTTGATTGATATATAGATAATCCTAAAATTTAAGTTATATATAATAATTAATCATATAGAATTATTTGTATAAATATAAAGTTAATAGGGGTTTATTATAAAATTTTAAAAGTTAGAAAGATTATGTGTATGTAACTTAAAATTTATGGGAGTAATGCGTAATTTATCCTGTTATTAATTATTATACTTTATTCTGGTTCTAAATAAAGAAAAATTTATTGTCAAGTTAAATAAGCAACTTCCAAAGTCAACTGATTGAGTTGAATTGGCAGACTAGTGCAGGTGAACGAGTCCAACAAATCCGCTACCACCCTACCCAGTTCCATAGTCCACAGGCTCCTCCTTTCATTAATTTTCTGTATCTTCAACCTCTCATCTCATACCCTGACTACCCCGCCTTCGCATCTCCCGCGATTTTTTTGTTTAATCAATTAAAAAAACTCTTTGTTAGTAATCTGCTGTATATTTACGTATAATATAAAAGCTGCAACAAATTACGTTTCAAGTCACAAACAGTATTACGTCTCGTTTTTCAAATGCACCTTGGTTCTACTTGTATTAGCTTTACAAATGTACATACAACTTTCAACACCACAATTGAAAATGACTGGGTTTTACAATTCTCCCCGTACGATCATTTAATAAAAAATATATATAATTATATTCACTTACCCGAAACCTCCCTGCTAATCTTGTTCACCTGTCCACGTTATTAAAACAGGGCCGTTGAGGCGTTGAAGATATCAATGGCATTTTCTTTTTTAGGGCAAAATATAAGTAATTTAGCATGTAGCATAATATTGTGAGGAAGTTTTTAGTTTTTTTAGATGGCCTAAGCATTGTTCCGTTAAGAACTTAAAATGTTGGGAAAAAATGGGTAAAAGCATACGAGGAGAATGTAGATGTTCGGTGGTCCGGGAGACGACACAGCAGTTATTTCCCTAAATTTTCAAGGCAAATCACAGAAAGTGTGGAGGAAAGTTATGTATAGGTGGCGTGTTGTTATTACTGATCGACAATGTGGCATCTCGCGCATTCCCGTCCCCCTCAGCGGGTTCTTGAACAATACGAGTACAGTAAATAATCTTATACGTGGCAGCCTTTGGGTCTCCCCTGGGAACGCTGTTCCATCGACGTCCTTTTGTGCAGTCTATCTCGCTCCAGCCGTTGGATCATAATCCACACCACTCCCCCGATCTCCTTATTTAACAAACCCTTCTTTAACTATGGTTGAGTTAGTTAACGCCGACTCTCTAAGTCCTTAACGCCCCTGTATTCTCCGGGATATTACCGTTCACCCTTTTCCGCAGACCGCTATATAAACCGCCTCCGAGACTCGCTAGGTTTGCCAAACCAACTTCCCTCGAGGGATCTTTGAGGAAGTAGATATTCCACCATTCTTCTTCTTCTTCTTCTTCTTTTTTAATATTTTTCTAATTTTGCTTTCTTTTATTTCTTCTGCCCAGAAAATGGCTACCTCATCTTCCAGAACAAGATCGAGCGGACCGGTGCTTCGATCGTCCTCACCCTCTGGAAGATTCTGCTCTTACTCCACCTCTAATACACCCTTTCATACGCCATCATCTGCTTTCGCTTCCTCTTCGAGTTCTGCTTTCTCATCCCCCTGTTCCACTTTCTTCACAAAAACCCAACACCATCAGCATCACATCCATCATCGCTCCGCTTCTCCTACGCGGGTCAATTTGTATACCTCTACGTCTCCGTCTTCTGCCGTTCGATTCTCAATCGATCAGCGCTCCATCTCTCCCAATCGATCCATCTCCAATCATGTCATCAGTAAGAATAACCATCCCATCTCGCTCCAGAAAAAGACTTGTATGTGTTCGCCCACGTCACATCCGGGTTCGTTTAGATGCAGCCTTCACAGGAATATGGCAAACCATAACGGCAGCAATCACGCCGACTCATACCCGTCTAATCGGCTGAACATGCGCAGATCGGCGATGAAGAACTCCTTGGTGAGAATAGGTGGAGTGGAAGGCGAGTGGGTTAAAAGAGCATTGACCGCTTTGATTCGGCCTTCTTCCCATCAGCTGAGAAGGAGAGCGGCGTTTGAGCCCCGATCCAGTCGTCTTTCGATCATGTCCAAGACAGAGGATCTCTGATTTTTAACTTGACAGGTTCATTCGTGTTTGTCCGCTTTGACATACGCCGTCGGAGATCAAATCGGATGGTGGTATTACATGGCGAGACATTGTCGCGCGAGTTCTCTCCGGCGAGTTTTGCTTTCGTCGTCCCGAGCATTGTCGGGTGAAGTCAACGTTCGGGTCGTTCTCGGAATTCCCAAAGGGTTCCGCAATAGATCTTTGGGACTGGACCCAGATAGATCCTTTTTGTACATACCATTAGCTATGGAAGGAGTTTTGTGGACTCTTTTTCTCTTTCACTAAATCGAAGTTCAAATATAACTTTAAGTCGCATTTCAGTTAACTTGGGGTCAATTCTTCGATCCCAGTAATAAAAACTAGAACCTAAAGATTGTTTGGCATGATAAAATTTAAAATCGCAAACATCGTAGCTGATGCTTGGTATGATAAAATTTAAAATCGTAAACATCTTTGTTGAAGTGCGTGATCCATTTCGTTATTCTTTGCAGCGCAGCGATTCCGTTATGTTTGCCGTTCCGTCTGGTGGCTCTGTCGCTCGTATCCCCGTATTCGGGTCCTGTTTTCCGTATCGCCGATGAATCTCCGTCATTGTTTGTTGCGTGCAGATGCTATTTGTGACAGGTAAGCATCTTTTGCAGTATTTTCTTTAATTTTGGCTTGAAATTGTTTAATTCTTTAATTGCATTTATTTTTTAGCAAGCGGTGCAGCAGCTGGAGATCGGCTTCGTGTTCGGCACGGGAAATGGATTCCATCTATTCGACACCATCTTGATCTTGAAGGCGACATATTACAAATAACCAAAAAAAAAAGAAAAAAGGGAAAATTCAGATGGCAGTATCAAACGAAATAAAAGATATTAGTAAAATATGGAATTAGTGATGGTATTACTATTAACTTCCAAATGAAAAAAAAAAAGAAAAAGTTTGGTTAAATAAAAAATAGAACAAGAAAAAGGTTAATGTAATGGTTTGAATTGTAAATTGGCCATTCACGGAAAAAGAATTCGAAGTGGGAAACGAGGGAGGGAATAACAAATTGAGATTTGAGAATATTCGAGTGGAAAAGTTGACGCAGAGAGTGAAATGACACAAAACCAGGCCAGCTGGCTCGTATTGTGGTTTTGATTACTGAGCTCTGAGCATGATGAAAAATCATTTTACCACAGATGTCATAAATAATGAAGCGATGCGAGGGGAGGGACACTGAGCAGCACACGAAATTCAGGGCGAAAAAGCTGAATGGTCTGTAAACGTGATAATGTATTCGTTGATTATATTTCCATCCAAACCATAAAAAGAAATGGGAAGTGGCATGAATTTTGGGAGGGGAAAGTCAGGTGAAAGTTGACGAAATTGAGAAGGCAGTGCAAGTGAGTGACTGTTGAACGGTAAGGTGGTGAAAATTTGGAATGAGTAATGAGACGCATGTAGCATGTTGGATCACACGTTCGCTGGCCACTACAATTTGCCAACGGAAAGTGGCGTGGGACGTGTGGCGGTTTGAAAAATAAAAGGTGGACCCTAGAAGACTCGTCTTGAAGTCACCCTCCATACATATGGCGTGGTTACCAGAATGGTATCCCGTATCCTATTCCTTGCTGTCATTTTTTTTTTTGACTAAATACAAAAACCTGAATTTGCAAAGAAAAGCCACCACACATATAACATAAATCCCTATCCCACAATGCACACGTTGACACATCAATTTCTATTTTCTAGAATGTAAATCTTAGCAGCATAACAAGGGAATGGCAAGGAAGGAGAAATTTCTGCTCTGAATGAGAGGCAAGAAGGGTGAGGAATTGAGGAGGAGAGAAGGCACCAAATAATTCGAGAGAGGCGGCGACGAGTAACGTGAGGATTGTGGTCCTTCCATTCCATTATTGGGCACGGTGGTCAGTGTGGAGGTGGACACACATCTTATCCACTCCTCCTCTACTCTCATCTTTGTTTCTAGTCACAGTGTTTTATGCACATACTGTTTCTTCTCTTTTTTATCTCTTAGGTAAACAAAACACAAATCAGATTCTCGGGTACTTAAAGCTCTCTGGTGATATTCCCTGTACCCACCGACTCACGGGACAACCAGCGTGGACATGTGGCTGGCTAATTATATCGGAAACAGTCAAGATTAAATCTAAGGTATATAGTTGTCCTTTGGAATGCTTGCACTCGCGGGCCCCTTTCGACCGCTGGCGGCGTTGTGGCCATCCGAAAGGTTCCTCTTCTCGTACATATTGGGCTTTTTTAGGCTTTCAGGTTTGGACAGTTGTAACTCCACCTTCAACATTGTGATTTCAACCTCAGTCCTTCATTACATTCCACCTACTTCAAAAATAACATTGAAGTCTCTTCCCTCCTGGTTACGAATATGAGAACTACACAGAGTATGATGCAGATGGCTCAGTTTTACACCGTTAATTTGTGGCAGTGTGAGAGATGTAATGCCAATTGGTCATGGTATCTAACAGAAGAGGGAAAATGACAAGGATAGAAGTCTGTGTAGCAACTAACTTTTCCCTTTCTGATGATTTATCCTATGTGTTTGAACTTACTCTCCTTTATCTCCCCTCAGGCAGCTAAACAGTAGCATTAACCTAGGTACCATTCATGACAATTGCAAACACAATTCCTCTTGAATTTTCATTTCACACGCACACGGACAGGAACTCTGATGCTGTTTGCTTCTGCCGACATGAATGAGAATGAAGAGGTTGGTGAACTGATTAATTTATGATGGTGGTTATTTGAAGGGTGGAAACATGACGTTGCAGGACTTCAAAAACATGTTGCCTTCCTATTCCTTAAGTTAATTAGGTTGGCCTTCATGTTTGAACAGACACATGCGCGCGTGTGCCTGTTCATAGCCCATTCCTTCAACACTAAGAGGTGTGAGGCTTGAATGTAAAGCAGAAGGATGCTACGGTGTCAATTAAGAAAAAAAGAAGAAGACGACAGATCTGGATTCTGGAGAGTGAGCAGCTTGCACAAGAATATTTGGTAACCAGTGGTGGCTTCCTGGTTAAGTCTAGAGATGATGGGGACAATCGGATTGAGTTTCTTGCAAATTGCTATTGTAAATTTCAGCTTGTCACTCTCTACTCAAATCCAACCCCCCTATCTCATCGGATTTTTGCCAGGGGACCAAATTCCCCTGCACAATCAACAAATTTAACACACAATTACTTTTTCCTTCGCAGGTTTCGAATCAATTTTATATTTTTTTCACACGAATCTGTGTGTATTAATTTATCAATTTTATTGTGTTAGATAAAAATATCATGTTTTCATAATCTAATTATCACATATTAATTAAGAATGGGCTATTTCTGCAGTTATTTAGATGTCAGTACTAATAAGAAAAACAATTAAATTAAGCTTTTGTAAAAGTTAAAAAATCTGTTTTTTTTTTTTGCTATCAAAAAAATAAAAATAAAACTGAATACAAAAAGTTGTTGAACCAAAAAAAAAAAAACTGAATACAAATCAAGGATACGATGCCGAAATTTTACGGAGACCATGTTTCTGTCTTTTACCATTTCCGTAGACCTCCTTCCTGGGGAATCTTGTTGGGACCCACTATCTTTCTCTTTTGACGCCATATTATGTTTTACATTTTTTATTGCTCACATTTGTTCCAAACTTTCAATGCACTTAGACATGGGAGAGTTTTAATAGAATTAAAATTAAAATTAAAATAGAATTGAAGTTTTAAAAGTGTATTTAAGGTATGAAGATAAAATTTTAACTATAATATTAATTTTATATGTACTTAAAATAGAAAAAAGCTAAATTACTTTTTTTTTTAAATTAAAAAGATCTATCTTTTATAAATAAATAAAAAAGATGAAAATAATAGGACTCACAAATTGAATTTTCAAGAAAATTAAAACTCAATTCCATGATCAATATGATGAAATTGAATTCTTATTTCAATAAAATTTTTTTAAAAATAGCTCTTACATATCAATTATATTTAAATTAAAATTTTATTTTTAATTTTATTTTTATCTTATCAATTCAATGCTACGATGGCCTTGCAGTTACACGCGCCTTCGGGGCAAAGTAGAATTCTTCGTTCGTCTGCCAGCGTTGACTTGTGCAAAAGCAAACCCTAGCACGAAGGCGGAGTACCTGGACATTCTTTCGCATTTACTCCCCAACCCAGACACCATTGACGCTTTCTCTCCTCTCTCCTTGTAATAAAGATTACACCAATATAACACTTCCAAACTTTTCATTTTGTTGCGATTTTCTTCTTTGATTCTTTCTGGATTAGTCTAGCTGAACTGATTCGGACAAAGGAGATAAAACAGGCCCGAAGCTCGAAACAGAGTGTCATTCCCCATCCCCCCATCCGGGGGTTCTTTCCTTCCCAATAATAAACTCCTGTCCTGTGATAAGTTTTTCTGTCTATTTCTTGATTGATTAAAGTAGTTCGAGGTTAGAATATAAGAGTATTTGTTCCATTTTTTTTCCTTCTACTTTTTCGTGTTATTGGCTCTTCGCTACTTTCTGTTGTATTCAGTTTTGGGATTTCATATATTTTTTTTTCTGTGTGGTTTGGCCGAAAGAGTCAGGGTTGTGATTATAATCAGAACTTGTAGGACTTTGATATTGGGGGATACTTTCGTTTTGTTTGTTTTTTTGGTAACTATCAATGGGGAAGCCCACCGGTAAGAAGAAGGATCCTGCAACACAGAAGGCTGCAAATGCGAGCGGCAAGCCGAGCAAGCCCGCTGAGAGGACTTCCAAAGCTTTCGACGAAGACACAGCAATCTTCATCAACATGTCACAAGATCTCAAGGAAGAAGGCAATAGACTCTTTCAGAAGAGGGACCACGAAGGGGCTATGTTGAAGTATGAAAAGGCCCTCAAGCTTCTTCCCGGAAACCACATAGACGTGGCACACTTGCGCACCAATATGGCTGCGTGTTATATGCAGCTCGGTCTTGGAGAGTACCCGCGAGCAATTACTGAATGTAATTTAGCTCTCGAAGTATCACCCAGATATAGCAAGGCTCTATTGAGAAGAGCAAAGTGCTATGAAGCATTGAATCGATTCGATTATGCACTTGGAGATGTTAACTTTGTTTTGAGCGTGGAGCCTAATAATCTTAATGCATTGGAGATTCTCGGGAGTTTGAAAAAGACCATGGAAGAAAAGGGCATCACTATTGATGACAAAGATTTGGCAAGTTTAGAGCAGCCTACCACTGCTCCTATGCGTAAAGTGGTACGAGAAAAACTAAAGAAAAAGAAAAGCAAAAAAAGTGAGGGCAAGGCAAAGGATAAGGTGATTCTTGAGGATAATGCGAATGCAGTTAAAGATAAAGAAGTGGTGACAAAGACAATAGCGAAAAAAGAAGTGGATCTGGCGCCTGTTAAGGAAGAAAAAGTAGTCGCAAGGACGGTGAAGTTGGTATTTGGAGAGGATATAAGGTGGGCGCAGTTGCCATTGAATTGTAGCATGAGATTGGTGAGGGATATAATTAAGGATCGATTCCCTGGATTGAAGGGTGTTCTTGTTAAGTATAGGGATCAAGAAGGTGATTTGGTTACTATCACGACTACCGATGAATTAAGATTAGCTGAATCTTCAGGTGATGTCTTGGGTTCTCTTCGACTCTATATTGCTGAAGTCAATCCAGAGGAGGAACCAACTTACGATGGAATAACCAATGGGGATGAGATGCTAGGTGATGGTATTGAGCATGGGCCAACAGAAGCAGGCAAGGATTAGCAAATAAACTGACTAGTGTGGAGGATTGGATAATCCAGTTTGCTAGGATGTTCAAGAACCATGTCGGGTTTGACTCTGATTCATATTTGGATATGCATGAGGTTGGAATGAAGCTATATTCAGAAGCCTTGGAGGATGTGGTAACAAGTGACGATGCTCAAGAGCTTTTTCAAATCGCTGCAGATAAATTTCAAGAGATGGCAGCTTTAGCATTATTTAATTGGGGGAATGTTCACATGTCCAGGGCAAGGAGACGTGTTTCCATCTCAGAGGACGGGTCAAAAGAATCTGCTTATGAGGGTTTTAAAGCTGCATATGAGTGGGCAAGAAAGGAGTACAAGAAAGCAGAGATGAGATATGAAGAAGCCTTGAAAATCAAACCAGACTTCTATGAGGGATTTCTGGCACTTGGGCACCAGCAATTTGAGCAAGCAAAGCTCTGCTGGTATTATGCAACGGCATGCAAAATGAATTTAGAGGATGGCCCTTCCAGTGAGGTTTTACAACTATACAACAAGGCAGAGGACAGCATGGATAGAGGCATGCTGATGTGGGAAGAGATTGAAGAGCAGCGCTTAAATGGGCTATCCAAATTAGATAAATATAAAGTGCAGTTGGAAAAAATGGGTTTAGGAGATCTCCTCAAGGATATTTTTCTGATGAAGCTGCAGAGCAGGCTGCAAGCGTGAAGTCACAAATATATATTTTATGGGGCACTATATTGTATGAGCGTTCTGTTGTGGAATATAAGATAGGCTTGCCATCATGGGAGGAATGTTTGGAGGTTGCAGTTGAGAAGTTTGAACTTGCCGGAGCTTCTCCAACGGACATAGGGGTCATGGTAAAGAATCATTGTTCCAATCACACAGCACTAGAAGGTATGGGATGTGGAAAATGATTGTGTATATTTCACTTATTGTTCTTCAGGATTGGAAAATAGAACTGACAATTTTCACAACTACAGGCTTGGGGTTCAAAATTGATGAAATAGTACAGGCATGGAATGAAATGTATGATGCCCAGAGGTGGCACTTTGGTGTACCATCATTTCGTCTCGAACCAATGTTCCGGCGGCGTGTTCCGAAACTTCTTCACATCTTGGAGCATTTTTGAGTTTTCTTCTTGAGCTTGAAATTCTTTAGAGGCATAATTAATGCTTCTGTTTCTTGATATTTGTGAAGGCCTTTCATCCCATTTAAAACAGGTAAATGAGACTGCCTCTTATTCCTAACTTCGCAGTTGTTCCCAAAAGGTATTTGGAGTTAGTAGCATTCATGAAAGGAGTAGTGATGGTAACTGAAATTGTGTTTTCATGGACAATTGAACGTTTGAAATTTTGAGATGCATTTCCTGTTCTGAAATATTTCTGTATATCCTTCTGGTGAACTCAATAGGATCTGTTGGATTCCCAAAGATAAAATCACAGAATGTTGTTGAGAAATTGCATTACGATAGAAGTTAAATAACTCTTCATTTTCGTGCATTGGCAATTAGGCAATTCGTGAATTGCTCATACATCATAATGTCAACTCAATTGCATTCTGTTGATCTTAATCCTGTGGAACCTGTTCAGAATCTTGTTTTAGTTATTTTAAGACCGTGATGTTGTCACGTCAAGGTTCTGTCAAGAGTTGCCCTCGGGTGTGGGAGAAGTTCAAATGTCCTGTTTGTGATCTGATTTTTCAGGCTGCTATGAAAAGTTTTTCTATCTACCAATTAGTTTAAGTTGACAGGCTTTTGTGCGTTCATGGATTAATCATCTTTTGAAACATCATTGGAAAAATATGTTGCATCTGAAGTCGTGAGCTTTTATACTTTTGGCAATGCAAGAGGAAGTGCATTGTGTTGATTAACAACATTTGTGGGAACCACGTCGATGCTCTGTTTTCTAGGGTAATACAGAAACATAGTGGAGTTATGGTCTTTAATTTGTGTGCTTGTGCAATGTACAGATAATTTGTTAACACATGGTCCGTTTTCATTGGAATGTTGTTGCTGAGCTTAAGTCTTTCTAGTCTTTTATCGCAAAGAACACCAGCTTTTTAACTTATGAAGAACAACTCGCTTTTCCTTATTCTGTGTTTTTCAATTTTAGCGCTGTTAAAATCATGAGATGTGTGCTGAATACTGAATGGATTGCTTGTCTTTTAATTGCAGGTTTTTTCTTTTTTTGGTTCTTGTCAAGAGTGCTTTGTGTAGCCCAATGGTTGGAGCTATGATTGTATTTTGTTCTCGTGTTGGTTGTGTTGTGTACTTGAGGGAAGGCTTGCTGCGAGGTTGCTATTCCTTAAACAGGTAAACTTGTAGTGTCGGTGCGCAATGATTTCATTTGTCGTTTTGAGATAGCGGGTGAACGATTTGCTTTGTCAGTTTGCCGCATAATTGGGGTCAAGATTGTTTGGTAAATTGTAACTATCTATGGGTGGTATATGGCAGGATTGAGAATACTGTATGTTTTTTTAGAAGAATGAGAATAAATACTTCTCTTATTAAGGTTATCGATATCATCAAATATATGTTCATAAGTTATACTCTCCTCATTTCAAATTATAAGATACTTTTTGAAAAGATTCAGCATTTTAAAATGTAAAATACTTTAATAAAAATAAAATTTTATTAAATGATACTTTTTTAATATTATACTTTTCATATATTATTTTTTTTAATATTCTTTCATCAATTAAGTATTAAATGAATGACATTTTTAAAAGTTTATATTTTTATTGTGAAAGAGTAAGATTGTAAAGTATATTTAATGAACTTTGTTGGTGTGTGAGATTTTATTTAAAAATATCTTATAATTTAAGATGGAAGGCATACTATGTTTTATTTTTTGGCTGGAATACAACATACTATTCATCTAACCCTGGTTTTGGAGATCGCTTCGTAGTTCGTACAGTCAGTCAGGAGAAAGATTATATTGAAAATTGTTTTTAACCTTAAGGATAGATTATTACTTCTTGATTAAGTATTTTCACTTTATGTATATATTTTTGGTAAATAATTTTATTCTATATTTTAGATGTGCTGTTGAAAATAATTATTTGTCATTATTATTTTGTTCAAAAATACCCAAAGCTTAAGAAGAGAACGCGAATCTTACCAAAATTTTTATGATTGAAATTGATTTTATTTAATATTAAAGACAAAAATGGAAAACATTTTTTTAATTGATTATCCCCATATCATCTTTGCCTAACCTAATGACCAGTTATAAACTCCCAATCGAGTCTATGAATTCTATAATAATAATAATATCCAATTTTATTTGGTTTATCCCAATATGCAATTAAGACAAGGAAAGTGTAAGGAAGAGAATGAAGTGATTTTCAATTTTTTAGATTTTATAAAAACTTAGTGTGTAACTCATGCGATGCACCGGGTGAGACTATTGGATGTGATTAGCAATAATGCTATATTAAATAATTAGCTTGTAGATCAATGTGAATTTTATAAGTTATTGCATGATATATAAGCAAAAGAACATGCATTTTTGTACAATAAAGGAGAATTATATTGAAATCTCACACAAAAAAATTAATTACTGTAAAGTTTATTGACAACTAAACTAAACTGTATTAACAACATAATCAGTTGTCAATGCAGTTTAATTCAATTACTAATGAACCTTATAATAATTAATTTTCTTATGTAGGACCTGGTTGTAATTCTCCCTAAAAATAATGACATTTCTTCTTAGTTTGGAGTGATTGAATTATATTCTAAATGTATTTATTTTGATTCCAAATTTGATTTGAATGATCCACATTATATTAAAGGTGATTAGAATCAATTGAATGATTTATAGAATTATGGAAGTTAAATAGAAACAAGTAACATGATAAGAAAAAAAATATAAGAGACTTTATATGAGGCAATACATGGCTAAAATAACTTCATTTTGCCATGTAAAATCAAAAATATATCTAAAATCAAAGAGATGGTACACAATACACGTGAGTTTTTGTTAAAAAAAAAAAAGAATGGACAAAGTGAGTTTTGAAGAGGGAAGTAAGTGATGCATAATGTCAAGGTTTGTAGAAGTGAATAATTAAAAACTTCAAATTAAAGTTGGACAATAACAACATGATTACATAAAGCAGATAACATTATAACTCCAAATGCTAAACAAAAAATAAAATAAAATTTAACATAAAAAATTATCGTCCATTCTTAATCATCACACTCCACCTTTATTTTCTTTTTCAAAGAAAATCTCTTAGCTTCAGTTGTTAGCCCCTCTTTCTCTACTTCATTTGAAGACCCATCTTCAACCATGTCAATGGAAGTGAGACTTGATGAAGTTATTTTCTTCTTCAAAGGACATCTATTAGCTTTAGGAGTCGGATTGTCTTGTTTTAATTCATTTGAGGATTAACTTCGGCCATACCAATGGGAGTAAGATTTGCTAAGTTATTTTCTTTTTCAAAGAACATCTATTAGCTTTAGGTACTGGCTTATCTTCTACTTCATTTGAAGATTCAGCTTTGATCATATCAATGAGAGTGCGATTTGATAAAGTTTCACATTCAAATCTTTCATAGACAACTCTAGCTCTTGCAAATAAAATGCCATAACATAATATCAATAAAAATGAATAGCAGTGAACATAACAAAGAACTTAAGAATTTGCATGTATTAAAAAGACTAATTCCTTTTCAAAAGCCACATCTTTGGTAGGGTATCTTAGCTTTCCCAATTCTTGAAGATATAATTTAATGATATTCTCATTATCAGTCATCCCAATTACCACACACCCACAAACTGATCCATTAAGAAAGTCTTCTGATAACTATCACCAGTAACCTTATAAGAAAAGGTAATATGAGTAATCTATTAGAATTGAACACACAGCTCAAAGAAGAAATATAAGGACATCAAAAAGAAGTTTCAAAGCACAATAACATGACTCACATTTTCAACTTTATCTATAAGATCTTTAGTTGAGATTTTCAAAAATTCAAAAACTTCGTGATCAAATATCACTAAATCAATTGACCCAGAAGAATTTAAGACATGACAAGGTTAATGGTATCTTGAAAAAATATAGGCAAAGTAATGCTAAATCAAAATTACATACATTTCCATCAATGTATGAAATAAAATTTAATATATGCTACATATATATTGAGGAATCACATGAGAAATCTTTTTCTGACATTTATCACAAAAAAAAGAGAGTCTCCATCAGGAAGAGCTTTCTTAACATAGGTGATGTATCCATTATAATACAATCCACATTCTAGGTCCACACTGGCTATAGTAGCCAATGTTACAACTTTAGCATCCTAGAATCACGTATTTAAATAAAACAATGTTGTAACATTTTTATCTAATTAGAAGACTAATAAATGATGTCCAATTTATAATGGGACCATCTTGAAGGTCATCCATATTTCTCCTATCTTCACATTTCAAAATGTCGTCCTTGTTTTTTAAGATTGTCTTGTTAGACAAATGGGAGGGTTCTTCACCCATATCAATGTTCATGGCCTGCAACCTATATGTATCCAAAAATATATTATTAATGGTTAGAGACCCACATGATAAGAAATAAAATAAATGAACTCATTTGCATGAGTGAGAATAAAGAAATAAATGTTCTTTTGAATTGATTACAAATAGTGAAATAAAATTGAAATAAATGGATGTGAAAGGAAACATACGCTGACATTAAAAACAGAGAAAATGACATACTCATATGTAGTCCTTTGCGTGCACAACAATAAAGGAAGCTAGTGGGTTGGAATGAAGGAATGAAGAATTGAAACGATAGTAATTTTTGACAAAAAGTACATTTTTAATATTAATATTAATTATGATATATTAATATTAATTAATATTGATATATCACAATATTTTTTAGTCAATATATATATATATATATATATAATATTCATAAATAGATAAAGCATATACCGATCCATCTTGGAAAATCATATCAATGGTAGAATCATCATTTTGCATCTTAGCAGCAGTCAGAGACTATAATTGGACTATTCAAACTTTGATTTTCATTATTTACGAGTGCTATCAATATCTCGCACAATGAAAGGTTTCCATGTGAGACATTGAAGTTTTGAATGCAACAATAGAAGGCCAACATAGAAATAAGATTGCCTGTTTGTGTGCAATATATCAATGCAAAAAGCTAAACTCATGATAACCTCTCATGTCTTGGGTTCATTGGAGATAACTTTAATAGGTAAGTTGCGAGTTGAGGGGGATAACCATATTAAGGGAAGGTATAGGAGGCAAATGGCAATCACATGGCATATGTTTAAATGACTAATTTTAAAAAATATATATTATCTAATAATTGAAGTAAAATTTAGATGGCATAACTGTAGTTTAAACATATTTTATTTAAATGAGCTAAATTCAATATTTAAATAGTTATTATACTCTATAAATTTGTTAATCATTATATCTTTTTCAAAAATAAAATATTAATTAAATATATATATGATCTAATTAGATTGTTAGTCATATACCAAGAACAAACCTGGAAGTAGGTGCAACAAAAGGGGGGATGGTTTCTCTTCTGCTTCATCACAATATAGGAGGGTCTTTGCTTCATCAGTGTCATCTCTCCGGTCAAGTGGCATGTCTTCGACAATGGTAGGCAACAGTAACGGCAGGATGCAGCATGAAGGCTCGGGAGAATCATCTACAAGGTTTGTCATTCTTGTGGTGAAATTGAGCTTCTGAATGTAAATTGAGGGGCAATCAGAATCTGATGTGATTTAGGGTTTTCCCCCTTTTTAAGCTTCTTCTTGTATTAAGGGAATCGGCATTTATAACTGGAGTAAATTGAATTGTTTTAGGCCAAACAATTTCCATATGTTTATTTATTTTTGATAAAATTTCCATTAGTTTCTAGTACATGCTAACATCCACGCTGACAGTAAACTGAAAACTTGCCATTTTAACTTTGGGCTTGATGGTAAAGAGTATCTTAGTCTCCTCATTCAAGTCTTGAGCTGAAGAATGCTAAAAAAAAAAAAAAAAAAAACATTCTTAAGCTAAAATGACCCGAGCAAAAAGGAAAAAAAAAAAAAAATCTCACAATACCATAAGAATGATTAGAAGCTTTCTAAAGAAATGAATAAATATTAGCTTTCCTTTTATCTCTATTTTTTAATACTGAGCTTAGTTGATTCTGACCGAGTCAAATATATATATATATATATATATATTCATTTATTTATTTATATGCCATTTGGGTAGTTTAAAAATATCTATTTAAATATGCTCATTTAAATAGTTATATGGCATACGGTGAGTAGTAATATTTGACACATAAGTTTTAAATTTTAAATTTTGTAACAATTAAAGATTTAAACATTTAAACTTTAAATGACTAATTTTAAAAATATATATTATTTAATAATGAAAGTAAAAATTATGAGGGATTTAGATGACATAGCCATAGTTTAAACAAATTTTATTTAAATGAGCTAAATTCAATATTAAAACAGTTATTATATTGGCAAATTTGTTAATTATTGTATTTTTTAAAATAAAATATTAATTGAATATAATTTATGATAATTTCAAGACCCATGACCATTTTCCATCTTGTGGGTGGTTATTTTAAATTTTTATTTAAATTTATGTATTTTGTAAACTAAATATAATTTTAAAAATTATATTTAAAATTATAATTTAAATTTACATATTTGTAAAATAAATAAAACTTTAGAAACTTAAACTTTAAATGCCAGATTTTTATTATGAAAATGAAATTAATTTAAATACATTGATTTTTTTTAAATTTGAATTAATTCCATGAAATTAATTTATTTGGATAACTGCTAATGCTAATAATAATCATTTCTTTTTATTTTTGTTATCTTTTTAATATTAAGCTTAGTTAATTATGATGAGGCACTTGGGTAGTTATAAAAATATCTATTTAAATATGTTCATTTAAAAATTACAAAAGCTATTGAGGAATATAAAGCTATATATAATGAAAAGTCATTATGATCATGGGTGATTGTAAAATCTAAAAATATGAAAACAATATTAGAAACATTTGAAAACATATTAAATTTTAAATTTTTTATATAAAATTTAAAATTTTATGGGTCCATTTAAAATTTGAGAGGTTAGTTATTTTTGAATGAAACAAAAAGTAAAAGAAAATAAAGGACACATGGCGCCTCCAAACATAAGAACACATGGCACCTTCAAACATAAACTTGCAGTTCTACTTATATATATATATATATATACTCCTTTCATTTTAAATTATAAGATATTTTTTAGGAAGATTTAGCATCTTAAAATATAAAATATTTTTAAAAATTAAATTTTTATTCAATAATCTTATTCCAATACTACCCTTTTTCTTTCTATAATTAATTTTTATCTTTTCTCTTTTCAATATATTAAATGATGGATGTTTTTAAAATTTTATATTTTTGTTTGAAAAAATAATGTTATTAAGTGTATTTAATGAGATTTATTGATATATAAGATTTTGTTTAAAAGTGTCTTATAATTTGAGACGGAAGGAGTATAAATTATTATGTTTAGTAATTTTTAAATTAAAAAAATAATCTTTTAATCCTTCAACTTTTAATTCATTTGTAACTCAGTCCTTTAACTATACTTATTGCAATTCAGTCCTTTAACTTTTGACTCATTTATAACTTGATCCTTATTTTTCAAAAATTTTAAAAAAATTATCCTTATCAAATAAGAGAGATAAAAAAAGATCATATATTGCACTAAAATATCCTTCTCTTGCTCTTTGATATGAGATATAAATTAATATGAAAAAAAATTAACAAAATTTGTGAAACTTAATTATAAATGAGTTAAAAGTTGAAAAACTGAGTCACAACTAGTTATAATTGAGAAATTAATTATAAGTAAGTTAAAAGTTGAAGAATTAAAAAAAAATTTCTTTTAAATTTTATAATATCTTGGATATCATTAAAGTTTTGCTGATATTCTCTCTTATTTATTAGATTTGATTATTTCCATAAGATACTTAAGATAGGTCCATAAAATAATAAAAAATCTAATTCTTTTGGATCGGGAGCAAATATTTTGAAAGTGTTTTCCTTCCTTAAAAAAAAAAAAAAAAAAACTGAAACAAACTCGAGTAGAAGAGGAAGAGTTACAGTTGGAGTAGGAAAGAGATGGAAGAATTCCACAGGGTCTATATATATATATATATAAAAACATCCACTTATTTCACCTCTGTTACTATTTGGTTCCTTCTGAAACACAAATCTCCAATCATGCAACGCATCAGAAAAGCAACCCATAGCGGTTCTTGGTACACCCACAATCGTAAGTCTCCACATTTATGATCACTTCACAAATTCACAACGAACCGACAAAAATAATTTTTGTGACAACTTAAAAATCGTTAATTTGACACGGACAAGTTGATTATTTTGGTGTAGCCAAAGAACTATCAGAGCAACTGGAGGGATGGATGAGATCAAGTGGTGCGACCAAGTCTCCAAAAGCACGGGCAGTAATTGCTCCGTGAGTTCAATAACACTCTCCGTTTCTGGTTTTTAACAATGATTCAGTGAATCTAATGTTAATGTATTTATATGCGTTGCAACCTTCACAGACACGCGGGTTACACCTACGCAGGACGAACGGCTGCCTCTGCTTTTGCAAGCATTCATCCTTCAAACATGTCTGTTCCTCTCCTTTCTGTCCTTCCTCCTTCGACTATTTCATGATCCAACAGTTAATTATTTGAGTCTGCTGCAAATATTGCAGAAGGAGGGTGTTCGTTCTGGGTCCTTCTCACCATTACTTCACCGAACAATGTGCTCTCTCAACTGCTACACTCTACAACACACCCTTCGGCGACCTCCCTCTTGATTTGCAAGGTATCTAATCACATCACATGTTATGTTATGTTATCTTCACTTGTCATCAGAACTCAAACTGTATCAGATTTGCAAGGTACTCATTTGTGTTCTTTAATTGATTTCCAGTGAATGAGGAGCTTAGAGCCACTGGGAAATTCCAACTGATGAACATGAACATTGATGAGACAGAGCATAGCCTGGAAATGCTCATGCCATTTCTTGCCAAAGTATTTGAGGGGTACACTCACCACACACACACACATTTCTGCTTCAAATAAGGAACTTAAACTTGGCCTCACGTCCATCTCTCAACCCCAAAGCTATATTCTGGCAGGCATCAGATCAAAATTGTACCCATTCTGGTGGGTTGTCTGAGTGCTGAAGATGAAGCCATGTACGGGCACACGCTAGCCAAATATGCAGATGACCCAAACAATTTTTTCTGTGTTTCATCAGATTTCTGTCACTGGGGAATTCGGTATTCCATGTTCAATCTTTATATTAGCATTACTTTCCGGGTCTTGAATACATCTCAGATCCACATGCCTTACTGTTTTTATTGTTTCATTCGGTACCAGATTTGATTACACGTACTATGACAAGGAGCATGGGCCTATATACAAATCTATAGAGGCCTTAGACAAGAAGGGCATGGAAGCCATAGAAACTGGAGGTCCAGATGCATTCCTACAGTACAGGATGCAGTATGATAATACAATCTGTGGAAGATATGCAATTGCTGTTTATCTCAATGTAAGTGCTTTGTGCAAATAGCCATGCCATATATAACTGAACCTACAATTTGTTTTATGTAAATGCATGGTCCATCTAAATTTGACTGTGAATGTGATGGAGTTGAAACAGATGCTAAAAAGTTGTGAGAGCAGGGTTAAAATCGAATTCCTTCAGTATGAGCAGTCGGGTCAGTGCAGAAGCTTATGGGATAGTAGTGTCAGTTATGCATCTGCTGTGGCAATGATTGATGATTCTACCTCTGCTTGAAGATCTTCATTGTCCTCTCCCGCTCTCTCTCTCTCTCTCTCTCTCTCTCATGAGGCATCAGTTCTTAGTTAGCAACTTTTATAATTTTATTGTCGTTTTTAAAGCTGTTATGATTAACAGTCGTATAGATTGCGGTGATTAACTTATAAATACTGGTATTTATTTGTAAAGAGCGAAGACCTTTGAATAATATCAACATCTTCACTTGCGATTGTAGTTTATGTAGAGATGAAGAGCGCGTTAGAAGAATAATGAGAGGATGGAGTAATACATTAAAATGAAACTTTCCCATATCGAGGACTCGTCAAACTTTGCACCCATTTAGATTTTAGACCGGTATTGGATAAAAGTGTTTTAAAAATTGATTTTAATAAAAAAAAAACCAGCTTCATAAACCGTGATGATTTTTTCTAATCCATTTTTTGGATATTATTGATTTTGCTTGCGTGTTATTTATCATAATCACTTTTAGATATACAATTGCCAAGAAGAACATAATTGCTAGATTTTAATGATAGTAGGAAATATTTGATGAGATTTTAATGATAGTTAGAGATATTGGGTTAGATTTTATTTGGAATGTGAAGAAGTATAATAAAGACGATAGCTTGAGAGATTTAGTTAGATTTTACAATAGTATTAAAAATTTGAATTCAAATTATAATAAATATATCTATACTAAATAATAACGAAATTAACAAGAGAGAATTCGACACCTTTCTACCTTTTTTAATTCGCAGTTAGTTATTCTTATTTTCTTTCTGTATTTTAAAAAAAAATCGACGCCTTTTATTTAATTTCTCAATGCCTTTAATTGGTTTTGAAATATGGACCAACAATTTCTACCCAAAACAAAAAGAAATATGGAACTACAATCAACATAACATATAATATCTATAATGTTAAAAAGATTAATACAATCTTTCAGAAAATTCTGGTTATTATCTCTTTATAGGGAAAAATCTTGTTTATTTAACAAATAGGAGAGTGTAGCCACAAAAACAAAAAAACAAGCAAACAGGAGAGGCAGGCCCAATAACATCATGTCATCATTTTTTTTTTAAATAAGTTGTGAACTTTAAAAAATTGGATCTAGTAAAAGAAGTTAATCTTTCACAAAGCGACAAATTAAATTTTAAATTTTCACTAAGAAAATTATTTACATATAATGCCCAACAATCTCTCGAATACAATTGCTTTTAATGGGAGGATATATGTAGGTAATAAAAAAGGTTGTGAGCTTTGATTTAGTTAGCCCAACAAATGCAGTCCAGCTACTTAATTCGGACTCGGCTGAGCCAGACTGGCCAATTCTTGAAATGGCACAAAGGGAAGGCGCTCCAAGCCCACAGCGCTAAATACGCAAGAAATTAGAATACATCACTTCATTAAATTTAGATTAGTTTAAATCAACTTTATTTGCTGTTGAAGAGTTTGATTGTTAGGAGATAAATGGAGCATTTGTGAGGTTCCGATGGATAGTTTGTTGATGAAAGCTATTTATTTTATCTTCAGTTCTCTTCATATTCTCCGTTCTATGCATTGGCTGTACTTTTTGAGTGTAGTATTTGCTGAGTAATAGTCTTTTTCTTCCCTTTTTCTCTCATTGAGCTTCGATATCTAAACCATTAAGTCCCCGCGCAATTTTTACGGAAACTGTTGGGGATTGAATTTACATGGGTCTTAAAAGAAAAAAGGTCTTCAGCAAGAAACCATATTCATGGATTTTAATTTTTAAGTAGTATATTGACAAGGAATTTTTAGGACGTTAGATCTATGAACTTTTATGTTTGTGTTTTTCACCAAGTCAAACAACTATTGGTCTGAAAATTCTCCCCTCATTAAATTTTCAACATTAATTAATGTTGCACGCTGTTCCAAGACAAAATGATGATCCAAATTAAAATTAAGACATGAAAGGCATTATAAAGACAAAGGAAGAGAGGGAGAGAATTAAAGCGCATGGACATACATTAGAAACAGATATAAAGGATGGATAATGAAATCGACAAATTTAGCAAGGGACATCACTTAAGGACCATATTTTTTCGGGGTTAAGGGCTTTGGGCCTTGACAAAGCCCCAGGGAGATTTCTCTTAAACTAATGCAATTACTTTGGGGACTTCTTGTCCCCTGGATAACCATGCACAAGTCTTCATCTCCTCAGTTCGCATCAGACTAAGCGACTCCCATGCCACTGGCTTCTGCTGCCTGCTTGTCATCGCGTGAAAGTGTGGACCATTTAAGTCCTGGCTCAGGAGGCTCCATCACATAGACATTACCATCTGAGAGCCCCACAGTAAACTGGCCTGCCTTCACTGGATTTGCAGCTACAGCAAGTAGGCAGATGCTCTCACTGCCACCACCGAATACATTATATTAATATTAATTGCATAAAGTCTCAGAATACTTGGCAATCTATCTCGAACTGTGATGAATGTGGTATTGTAATGCAAATATCACTTGTTCTGGCTTATCTCAACATTGATCAGATTATGAAACAACATACCTTGAAGCGGGGGAAAGGTAAGAAGTGGGGTTTATCCTGCAAAGAGGTTGAAGATTTAAAGCATCAAATATTATGATAGTCCCATCCGCAAAACCGGCATATATGTCCATGCCATCAGATGAGAAAACTGCCTGGGAAATAACCACAGGAAGTACTGGAACCCACTGTTATGAGACGAGCTATATTTAGTCATTTCATATCATACATGTAGAGAAGTTGATCACATAGGACGGGAAGAATAAGGAACCTGTATGACACAAGTTAATTCCTGTGCTTCATAAATTGCAAGATGACTATTTTGTACAGCGAGGAAGTTTATCTGTTCTGGGTGAAACTGAATATGAGTATCAGATGGAACTTCTGGCTTCCTCTGAGCAGGTATCTGCAAGTACCTTCCTTTCAGTTTTTCCCACCCCTCAATATTCCATAAGAAAATCTGCAAGAAGTCAGAAAGATAAGAAGTTCATATTCCCAGCTTTTTGTGGATGCTCATCCCATAATGTCTTTGAAGTATTAAAATGAGAAAAAGTAGCCAACGGAAACAGATCCATGTTGGTCAAAACTAATTTCAAAAATAGTAGCAGTGGTTGTTTGAGTATTAAACACTAACCTGACTATTAACCTCAGCAGAAACAAGAACATTTAAAGTGTTTGAGAAGGCAAGGGAAGTAACTCTTGTGGTGTGACCCTTCAGCTTTCTTATAATCTGCATAAACAAAAGTCATGAACAACTAGCTTCAATTTCCTCTAAGCATGAAGTGTTGCACACTTGCACATTTTTCTCAGATCGGCCAAAAGACAAATACCTTGCTTGTACGGACATTATATATAAAGATGCTAGAATCATCAAAGCCTACAGCAAGTACATTATTATCTCGAGGGCAGAAGGAAATAGATGTTGCCATAGGTGGTGGAGACATGAAAGTTGTCATAGTCTGTTATTAACAGGCAATGAGTAGTGTCAGGTTGATTCAATCCTAGTACCATTATAAACAACTAGCAAAGGGAAACATGCTATATCTTAAGGTCACCTTGAATGACAACATGTTGAACAAGGAGATTACACCGCCAGATGTTGAAATGAGATATGAATCATTTTTTGATATAGCAAAACAGCCTATTGATTCTTCGGGTTTGATGTTTGCAAGATTATTGCTCATACACTGCAAGCCATTCCTTGGTTGCCATAATTGAGGGGAAACCTTGGACGTTTCCTGCATGTGATATCTCATCCTTTATTGTACAATCAATTAAGAATCAATTCAACTCTAGGAGAAGCAAAAAAAAACAGAAGGTGGAAAATAGAAATAATAAAAATCAAAAAGTAATATGAAAGCCTCTACTAACTTGCTCATTCTCTGGCCATTTCCAAAGTATATTTATACCATCTGATGCCAATGCTAGGATGGCATTTCCCGCGTTGGTGTAAATCAGTCTGACAATCTGTGTTTCATCAGAAGGAAATTGATAAGAGCATTTTGTTTGGAGAAACCTAGTTTCCTAGTTGCTTTCTAACTTGTTTATCCACCAAAAATCCTGTAACTTGGTGCATTACAAAATTTCCAGCCTTCTAAATTCCATTTGAATATATTTAATCGAGTCCTCAACGCAAATACAAAGCGCTATTGGGAACCAGACCTATAATCGGCTATCATTATTGTGATAAAGAATCTAGTGATAGCTATAACACAATCATAGCATGTAGCTAAACGTAAAATGCAAATATTGTTAACACTAATGATGCTACATCTAGTTATTACCAATGATTCCAATAAAGCAAAAAAGGCCAAACCTTATTGACTCTCGGGTGAACAGGGAGCTGCAAGAACTGGCACTGAGATGGTTCGGAAATTTTGAAGATATTCCAAAACTTTGATGAGCTATCATCTTCTTCGGCTAAATTAGTGTCCATGCCTTCCAAGACTTCCGTGTTCTCATTCTGAAAATAAACAAATTATGATGAGATGTTAATTACATGTAAATCAAACATCATTAAAGAATATCAGTTGTAAGATTATACAAAATAGATAATCAGGATCACACATTCGTATGTATCATGCTTAAGCAGGTAACAAACCAATTAACAATGAACCTCAAATTTCCTAATCCACGTCTAGTAAAAAAACATATTTCAAAACTTATTACAAGCCATGAAAATGCCTCCATTTCTGGCATTAGCAATAGCAATGGCATCCACCAAAGATGGACAAGATGCTAGAAACTAGAAGGTCAGGGGTTGAGATGCAAATATTCTTACCCCTGCTGTGGTTCCAGAGAGAACAGTAGGGGGATGAATAGAACAAGCTTCGTTTTGCATCAGTAAAACGTCATAATCAAACTCTAAGATTTTGATTTTATTTTCTCTTGCAGCAACAGCCAGCAATCTGCCCTCTTTGTTGAAGCGAATGCAAGGATATTCCTGCACAAATGAAGCTCAACTGAGAGTGATTTTTCCATGTCAAACATTTCCTCATTCATACTTCACTCATATTATGATCCATTACCAAGCCACTCAAGCATTTGCAATCTTCAGTCACATGATGTTAAACTTATGGCATCAGTCAAATCATTAACATGATTTTCAGAAAAGGCCATTGAAGAACTTACTAACAAGCCTCCATTGGCATCAATGCTTGCCAATAGCTGTACATTGTCCATATCCCAATATTTAATCATACGATCATCAGCAGCAACCAAAAATTGGTTCCTTGTCGTGTCAAACTGGATTTTGGAAAAGCATGGAGCCTTAAGTCCCTTGTAGACTCTTTTTATGTACCCTTCACTTTCATCCCATTCCACAAGAAATGGCTCTCCATCCTTACCAACACCACATGAAAATAGCCTACAAAAGTTTTTAACAGTTACACAATAATCACATATTCATTACTATGCAGAAGCCAATAGTTCAACAAAAACAAGGTCCAATTGCTCACAACCTTTGGTCATTAGTACTGTAAGCCAATTTAGTGTATCCACAACCAGGGGCATCATAATCAACTCTCGGGCCCATAGTATCATATAACCATGCCTTAATCTTACCATCAATTGAAGTTGAAAATATAAACTGAGGTGTAGGAGAACAAAGATCACAATATACAAAAAATTAGTAATACACCAATTACAAAATCAATAAGTTTGCGTTCAATTGTAAATAATCCAAAGCATTCTCACATGAACATTTTCCTTCACATGAGGACAGATGGAACAAACTGGAGCACTATGGGCACCAAAAGTATAACATTTCTCACTGGTATCCACATCCCACACCTTAAAAACAGTAACAAACGCATCAGTCTCTTTAATATTAATACATTAATCATCTGTCCAGTGAATTGACCTTTACTGCCTTGTCATCACCACATGTTATGACCAATAATTGCTCACGAACAAAAGAAAAGGCTATATCATTGACACTGCCATCATGAGCTTCAATCTGAGAAGAAAGTATTTAGTATTACATCCAGAAAGCACATATATCACTTCTATGCAACAAGGGATTCGGAGGGTTAAAAAAGCAATACTTCTGAATGCTGGCAAATGTCTCCCCCACCATTATAGGAATATAACTGAACTAGATGTTTTGAAAATGCAACCCCTAATCAAAATGGGAAAAGTTAGTTAGAAGCAAGAAAGAAATGGGAGGAAAAGATAGTTTCACATCATTAATTATTAGACGTACTCCAAGTAGCTTAACATCCTTACCAAAAAATGAACCATCAAAGCTCCAAATGACTTTGGTAACAGAGATCCACAAATCTTTTTCTATGGCTTCCTGGACATGTTGACAATGGTTCAAACATTAAATAGTTTACAGTATTATACCGATTCGCTAAAGTACAACTTGGAATGGAAACAGACATACTTTGAAATTGGTTGAACATGCTCCAATGTCCCAAACCTCAAAATTTACGAAAAGCAACTTCTCACCAGAGGTAACATCCCAAATTCCTATATTGCCAACTTCAGTTCCAACTGAAGTTAGTATAGCATTGGTCATATGTTAGCAGTTTTCACAAAATCTTGCACCAAATTATATAGAGAAGAAAATAATCGTCAAATAACATCATGTACAAAACAACCTAGAAGAATAGCATGCCAAGTAGGATGAAAATCCATGCTAGTAGGAGGCGAATTATCATTCAGTGTCAGAACAACCTTCTGGGGCAGGCAACTTTCTGTGGCCGATGATGTTACCTACACAAAAGGCACCCCATGTATTTCATTCTTCAAGTACAATATAAGAAATGTTAGGAGAGGTTGAAGAAAAAAAGTTTCATCTAGTTGACCTCATCCAAAGCTTGGCAGGATTTTCCCTTGAATATTCGATTTGGATCCCCAAGAACCTTCACAGACGTTTCTAAAGGAAGGCCATCAAAGATCACCATCAACTCCCAGCATTAAAATGAATGTCTTAAAAAGGAACCAATGCAATAATCAAAACCCGATACCTGAGCTTTCTTTAGCAGCAGGGAAGAGTAAGGAATCTGTTACAGTAGATGGGCCGCAGTCATCACTGTTAACAGGATTTGAGCACAGCTTAAAAATATGGTCCACAAAGAGGGTTTGCATGACAGGCTCAGGAATAAGACGTTTGCAAAGCATATGCTGCCAATTTAAGCTGAAAAAATTGGAAGATAAATTAGTTTTCTGCAAGTCTTATGATGTTAATAATAGTACTAAAGGAGGACATGAATGCAAATGACGCGTATCTAGTATCAACTTCCACTAAAGGTAGAGTGAAATCTTTCGTTTAGGAGACTACTTAACCTCTGAGATTTTATGGCAGGAAACTTGAGCTTTCCATTAAACAGTGGATTTTCTTCAATGATTGTTTTAAGATCCTCTACAACAATCTTCCTCACAGAATTTGTGTCTTGGTAGTTTGAAAGTGATTCATGCTCCCTGTTGAGGCCCAGAAAGAAGTTATGCTTATCTGAAGGAATTTGCCAACCATGTAAAAAATAGTAGATAGATATCCATGATTCAGACCTTATATTATTTATCGTCAACAGCAGAGTCATTTCTTCGAGAAGTTCTTCGTGTCCTGGGGAAAAAACTTTGAGATCCTTTATCAGGATATCTAGAGCCTTGGAACGATCATTTCTGATGAATAAAAGTCAAAATGAGTACAGATAGGAACAAACTATGAACAATACAGCTTAATAAGAACAATTAATGTGAATGGAAAATATGATGGCCAGAAGAAAAAGTGCTAGGACCAACAAGCTCTGTGTGAGACTGAAAAGCTTACCTGTCCAATGCCTCGAGGAATTTCTGTTTCCTCAATTCAAAATATATTTTGGTGGAGTACCTATTGTCATCAACAGTTGTGAAACAGGATAGATAAGTCTCAGCGTCGTCAAATTTCCCAGCAAGCACCATGTCCTCAAAATGTTTCACGTCAAAGTAGCACCCACTTTCACGCTCGAGCCTATGATTGCAAGATAAAAGAACATTGAGAGCCATTACAAAAAAGGAGCAATGAAATTAAAGCCACGACGTCAAAATGGAGAGAAACATACATATGTGCGGTTTCCTTAAAACCTTCCTCTTCACAAAACTGTAAAATTAAGAAGACAATCTCATTTTTGAGGCTGGACATAACCACAAGCCCTGTTCGTCTTATGGATTACCAGTTCAGAATATAGGTATATATCTGATAAAGAAAAAAATCGAACATTTTAGCAAAATCGTGCAATCGCTCTAAATCGAAACAAGAATAAATGCAACAGGTGTCTTGGGGAAAGTATTTCAGCGTTGCTTAAAGAATAAAAGATCAATTGGCTAAAGAAAATGAGAAATCAATTATTGAAGGGGTTTCAATTTGAAAACTCGGGGTTCTTCAAGATGGCCTCCTTTCGATTCTTTGAAATTCTGAATTCCAGAAGAACCAGGCCAGGCTTTTGATTGTGCAGATAGTTCCCAAAATTAGCCAACTGGAAAAAAGTAGGGGCAATGAGAAAGCTCCGATTGGATCCCGAAACTTTAAGAACGAAGTTTTGGGGTAAACATCAGTGCTAACAACAACTGGAAATGAACAGAAAAATCAACAACTGACTCTGATCAAGGTATCTTCTTCACTAGGCTACAACGATCACCATAATAATTATTGCTCATGTTTAAAAATACGAACTAAAAAGGCTCTCTGGTTGGAAGAATTGAAGAGGACGATAAACGTTCATAAAGGAAAAGAGTGGGGGAATAGAAGGAAAGAAGAGGAACATTCAGAAAAAGTTCCGCGAAGTTCAGCCAAAAGATGAAGAGAAACTAATTAAGAAGAAATTGATGATTACATTAACAAAGGAAGCCTTGGTAAGGAAAATGAGACTGAAGGATTTTAGTATAGCTTTCAGAAGTCCTTTTCCAGCTCCGATTCTCTGAACGAACTGGTGGTCATAACAGCAGGGGCAGGCTGACGGATTTATAGTCGGCACTGTAGGCGAATTATGATAAGCACAGCGTCACCCCTCTTACATGAATGATAAGACCACGGAGCTATCAATCAGGGTCTGTTGTGATAGGCGTCAGCGTCTGGTCGCATGCCGTTGTGCTGCCCGCAAGGACAGATGGTTTGTTGAATGATCGACGCCTCACCACTCACCAGATCACGTCATTTTCACACGAAAAGAGTCAATAATACTTTTTTTTTATAAATAAATAGTCAATAATACTTTTAAATATGGAATCTCTCGTCACGGTTCTTTCTGCCCTTTCTGGAAAAACAAAACCGCGCCCTCAATTTATGTTTTATTTGCAAAAATTATGCGATTCAATTAACTGCTCAATTAATTTCCTAATCACGGAAGAAAGGACAGGGATTCTGGACGTTTCTTATGTTTGTTTTTTTATGTTTAAGAAAAGAAAAAACGTCGTTTCATTCAGTTTCTTCATCAATCTCATAGACCCAGACTGTGCAAGCAAATCCCATTCATTAATTAGCCCACAGAAACCTTAACAAGGGAACCCCGCGATTCCCTTATACTCGTATTATATCCATTTCGAACAATCTGGGCTTGCAGATTAATTAATTTATTAGTCAACTCAGATTCCCAATTTGCAAAGCTTCATCATCAAAGAAACAATTAATTAAACACATGTAAAGCCGACTTCTAGGCAGAAGTTTTTTAAAACTCGATTATACCCCTACAATCTTTGTTTTAGTCATATTTATAAGGCATATTTCTATGCTTATTGAGTCGTATTCTCTTACTCTTACTAAATGCTAGAAATATTATTAAACATTGGAGTATTTTATTTTTAAAATACATTTAATATAAATAAAGTTAAAAACTTGTTGAATTTTTAAATTTGAGAGTTTTTTTTTTCCCAGTAAAACATGTCAGGAGCGGCTAGGGAGCAATCAACAAAGAGCACTCTGATTTTATAAGCATAGTCTGGCTTCATTGATCTTAATACTATATTAACTTACGCACATATGATGTGCTCATGAGTACACAGGTAGAAACTGGATATTGAAAGCAAAGAAACAGAAAGCAGGAAAGACTATATATACACAGGCACACCTGCTTAATTTCCATTGACACTGAACCTTATATTATATATATAGCACCGAAATTGAAAAGGCAGAAAACTAGCAAGCTGGGTAGAATTTAAAAAAAAAAAAAAACACGCGCGCGCGATTAACTAGGTGCTTCATTTTCATTGCTTGAGCCAGACATGCAGAGACCAGCAGGAGAATTGTTCTAATTGTTTCCACCGGGAGTCCAGATCTCATGAAACAGTGGGAAAAATACGCCCATGACACCGTGATCATCTCTCAGCGTAATCAGACTCCGAACAACAGTCTCCAACGTTGGAGGCTCAAGCTTGCCCTTAATCGCTGGGTTCGCTCTGACGCATTTATTCAACTCCTCCACCACAAGTCTCCTTGTTCCTGGACGCTCGTACCTCATCATCTCTTGATAAGTCCTGCACATGCACACCTACGCAGTTATATATATATATAATCTCCACTTTCACTGTATAGAGTTTATACATGGTTATCTCATAATATTGCACCAGCAGTTCTCCATGGAAACCAGCTCCATTCCTAGATCATAGATTAACTTAGGGAACTCGATCGTGGGCGCGATGTCTCTATTGTAGCGTCTTGCTCCGCTGTGGATATATCGAATCAACAAATTAATTTGTGTGTGTCGGAGAGAATAAGTATTACCTGATCCGAAAAGCCCTTTTTTTCCCATTAAAAGAGAAGGTATTTAATTTTATGCGTGTGTAAAGCTTCCAGGAGCCGGAGCTTCTTGACGTCGAAGATTAGCTTAGCAGAGAATCTGTTTTCTTTGACGGCAGTGAATCCCGTGAGGTAATCCTAAGCCTCATCGTAACAACTACTCATAATCATCTCCTCGGAGTGCTTCATGTCGAAAGAAATACCAGTTTCATACCCAAGGCTACAAAAGACGCAAAATAAAAAATGACCACGTTAGCACTTTATCTTTGACCCAGGGGAGACCAAAAAAACAATTTTTAAATGTTTTATATTGAAAAAATCGAAGGAGATGACGAGGAAAACCCACCATCGAGCAGTCTCATTGAAGTCGCTTTGAGCCAAACTTCGCATCACAAAGACGAGCATGACATCGTCATGAATATAGGCGTTGATAGCCATTGTCGCAGTTATCCTTTCTTTGGTCCCAACACCCCAGCGAAACCAGAAATAAATCCAGATTAATTTGTACAAAGATGATACACGCGCACACAGCATATGCGGGGAAGCGGGGGAGGGAGAAAGTAGACATATATACATAGAAGACCAATGGAAGCTGAGGGAAATAGATATGTCATAACGAAAGGTGCGTTTGATTATTAGAAAGAATATAATGAAATGAATTGAAAAAATTAAGATCAAAATAAACCAAATCACCCTTCTTCCCATGATAAGTATTGATAAGTATGATAAAATTTATTAATATATACTATAAATATGAAAATTATCACTCTTTAAAAATCTCATAAATCATTACTCTCAACCCCATAAATTAAATAACTCAAATCCGATGGCATGCATGTAGATATTGAAGAAAATAAATTGAGATTTATATCCTCAAAGGGCCCAACCAACAAAAAAGATGGATGAGCTAGAAAAGAAAAGGAAATAATTTATGTTTAGGCAGGGCAAAGAGAGGGGAACCTGGTGTAATATCATGGTTTTTAATTCTCCTAATTTACTAAGCTTAATTATAATAATTGTATAAATTGTAGTGGTGTATGGCTAAGGAGGTATAATAATCATATTCAATTGTACTTCAGCCCTAATTGTGGGTCTGATATCAAATCAGGCCACCCAGGCATTAAAATGAGAAGAAAATGAAGGGTTAGTATTGTTGTGTCACACGCCATAGTGTGAAGTGCATCCACTACGGCACACAAACACTTCAATGCAGAATAGGGACATCTCTTTGCCACGCATCGTAGTGCATTAAGCATCCGCCACGGCGCATGATTATTTTTTGTAATTTATCAGTTGCGAAACTGAGACAGAAATAAAGGAGAAAATGAAGAGGCATTCCAAGATCTATTAGGGTTTGTTCTTAGACAACATTAAGAGTGTTTTGAAAACTACAAACACCCAAGGTAAGTATCATACCTTAGTTAGAGTTTGATATTGGAAGATACTTTTTTATCCATATAGGTTATGGGTCTGAATTTATTAACTTAAATAGAGTTAATAGGAGTAAATTAAAGTATTTAAATCTAAGCATAATGAATTTTAGTGTCTTGGGTGGTTGGGCTTCATAAATATGTGAAAATTGCATTAAGGTGGGTTGTTGGAAGAATGTGATGCCATCAATAAGAGTTTAATGGCTTATTAATATTAATAGGGACTAAAGATCATTAATAAATTCAATGGATAAGCTCAAACTCATGTAAAGTGGGTATTGGGTAATTTAAAAGTGGAGAAATGAGAGATAAATGCTTGAGTTTGGCAATATTAATGAAGATTAATTTGGTAAAATGTAGATTAAGCTCTTGGACACCTATTTAGCTTGGAAATTAAGCTTGAAAGCTATTATATTAAGAGGTAAACCTTTGACCTATCAAAGGTTTGAAGTAACCGAGAGAACCCTGCTTTGAATAGTTATGTATTAATTATAATGTGGTGTTAATTATACGTGTTTATTATGCAAATTATGACTTGTGAATGAGTACATCATGCAATGAAACTTTATATTTATCTAATCACTTTTTATATACATTAAACATGCTAAACTGATTGCAAAATGAGTTTTAAGTTGCAAAAGTGATATTCAAGTTGAATTTCATGTTTATAATGTGTTTAAATAAGTAGTTGATAATGGACTTGATAAAGATGAGAAACTGAGATTGAAAATATTGTGTTTATGTGCTATAAGGAAAGTGAAACTTGATGCTTACTTGGGTAGCGCTCGGTCATAAGCCTAACATGTTAACTTTGATGTGAAATAAATAAAAATGTGAAAATGAGTGAGCATTGTAAATGGCATGATCAGTGGGTGAGAGTTCATCTAAGGTTTGGGAGTAGAGAAAAATTCATATGGTATTTAGGCTGTCCTCCAATACATAGGGATATAACCTCATCCCACAGTTTGTTAAAGGGACTATCTCATAGTTTATCGAGAAACTATAACCTAGCTTTCTCCATCAATTTAATGAGGATAATAGTTTAAGGTATGAGACACCTTAGAGATTCGAGAGTGGGAGAAGTTATGATTTGAGAATGAGTTATGTGATCTTTGGTCGAGTCACATCTCATGATTGGTGAGCCTGGATAGTTTAATCACACGGATGGAGCCCTATTTAATGTTATAACCCACGATTTCAGTATAAGAAAAACAAGAAAGATATAAGGTTGGTTGATCATTACTTATGAAAAATATATGCATGTCACATATGTTAAGTTGTGGCAAATCGTGTGAATAATAGGTCATGATCACATATCTAAATATATTGTGACAACGCACCTAGTGTATGTGAGATAAAGATGGTATAAAATAAGTAATAATAAGTTATGATGTGGGTGTAGCATGTTTTAAGAATTTAATTTCATGTGCATGTGTGATTTATAATTAATATATAACTTCATAGGGTAGGTTTTACCTTAGTTACTAAGTGGCTAAACCCATCCTTCTTTTTTAACATTTTTCAGGCTCTAGCTCTAGTACTGAGAGAGACAAAACTATTGAAGCTTAGGAATCTGTGTATTCTTTTAGTATGCCTCTTGTATCTATTTATTTTGTGTAATAACATATGATTGCCAATTTTGGATTGCATATAATTACACTTGCACTATTTGTTATTGTAAAATGTTTGAATTGTATTTTAGGCTTTGACTATTTGTGTATGGAGAGAAATATATGTTGATAGGGCCAAAATACTAGTGCAAGTATAAAAATAATGTTTTAAATATGTTACAAATGTTTTTGATGCAATGCAATGAAAATTGCCTCTCCCTTTTGTTTTTGGTGAAAAGGGATTGAGGAATGATTTTGTGTTATACAGATATTTAAGCGCATGTAACGTGTTGTACTGATAGTTCTAGGTCTAATAAATATGGTAGG